ATGGCAAATCAACTAAGCACCAGAAGAATTTCAATGCTGTTAAATAACATTTGCATTGCTAGAGCTTATTTGACATTTATAATCAACTATTAACGGGCTTATATTTACTGTCATTGTTTTATGTGTTCCTTAGACTTACAGAGTGAATTATCCAGCTAAAATTGGAGTAGGTTAGTGCATAAAAAATTGTTTGGGTTCCCATTTCAATTTGACTTGTTAAATTAGCTTGCTGTTGTCACCTCTGAGATAGTAGAGGACTTGCTGAAAAATCTTCCTCATGGATTTTTGGGTATTACAATAAATGTTAAATATGCCTGTATCTGTTAGAAAGAAAATAGAGTCCAGAACATGTTTGTAAAAACATAAACCAAGGGCAGAAAGAGGAAAGAGAAGATGAGCTAATTATTCCAGCTGAAGATGTCACTTTGTGAAAATGAAACTGTAGAGTTTTTGAGATTTCCTTTGTATCACTTCTGTTGAATAAAGCTGGTATTGAAGTCCCAGGGCTTCATAAAAGGACAGCGGCAATTCCTTGGCAAGAAGCTCAGTTGTTGAGGGAACTCGGATGCTTCATTCCCTGGCTCGGGATGCTGAGGGATGTGCCTGTTCTCCTTTCTTCAGCTTGCTGCTGCGAAGAGACAGTATTCCCTTACTCTCCTTCAGTATAATGCTCTTCTTTCGAATGAGTATGGACAATCTGTTACTTGTAACTTCATAAAGAGTATTGAGATTTGCCTTTCAATAAACCAAAAGCATTTTCAGGTGCTGGTTAGGGAAGACATCTGTACTTCTCTTTTTCTCCCAGAACTGAAGACTTACCCTGCTTAAGGACACTGAACTTTTTTTTTTTAATTTAATTTTGAATGCTTAAATAAATACTGCCATCTGAAAATACCATATACCTTATACCATTTGTATAAGGTAACATTAAAATTTAAGGTAACCTCTGTGAAGCTGACACGCATTTTGGTAATGAAAAGTACCTTTTGAAGAAGTATAGTAAATTTGCTTTTCATTGCACTGAGTTCGGGTTTTCAGAGGCCTGATAGCATATCTGTGGCCTTTGTTGAAAATGTTGACTGTTCATTCATGAATGATTAACAGGTTGTTTTATTTAAAGGCACGTATCTACTTCCTACTGCGCCAGTAGAAAATCTGTGTTCTGAAAATGCTCTGTGTGCAGTCTCTGTTTGAAGAATGCTCTGTGCTGATCCCAGAAACTTTGTCCTGCTTGCATGAAACTCTTTTACTTATCAATTTGCAAGGATTTAGTGCTAGCAGGCTTTTCTGAGAGACTTTTCTGAGTTAAATGTGGCAGATTTCTATAGTATAATAATACAGGGCATTACTGAGCTCTGGGAGAGGTCCTTATGTTCTTGAAGTTGCCAGATTGCTTAATGGGGTGTACAATTTTCATTCATGTTGTAGTGTCATAGAAGTATTTCTGTTTTCTAATTTTTCTTTATCGCTTTTCTAGCAAGAGTGCTTCACTGTTCTTAGCAGGAGAAAGCAACATGAAAAAGTCTGAAATCCATACCAAATAGCAAATGAATGTTGAAATGTTTGGAGTACAAGTCATTTTGTGTGTGCGTGCATGGGCACGTTGAAGGACGTGTTCTTGTGATTCTGATAGTGAGAAGACAAAGAGTCTCTTATGGCAGATTTAATTCCATGTTTATGAGCATTCAGAGTTTGTTAGTGCAAAAAAGAACCTTGGGGGGGTGAAGTTCTAGCTGGAAGTCTTGCTTAGTGTTTAGTGTATATTTAAGTTTCCCTTAACTGCATATGTCTGGTTTTGGGAAAACAGCCATGGAAGTGGTCAGAAAGTATTTTGATCTAGGTAATGCTTTGTCTATTTGGATTTATATATTGGCAGTGAGTAATGCTTTATGTAAATGAAAGGAATACAGTTAAATTAATCCACTTTTTGGCTTGAAACTATTAAATATTTTTGCAGAAAGAACACAGTCTTGAACTCAAAAAATGGTCATCTGAAAGGAAAGGGGGAGGTGATGCAGGGCCCTGGAGCTCTACAGGGACATCTACTGGGACCTGGCCCTCCAGGACTCCCTTCCCAGCTTGGGGAGGTGGGGGTGAGGGGAGATTGACCTTCCTGCCAACACTGGCGTAGAAAGTACACTAAAGTTAATTTCAGAAAACTTTGAACTTTCTAAAAGCTATTTTTCTTATCAATAAATAAAAAATTCTTGACAAAATTGGCCTTGATAAGGTTGGGTGCTGTTGAACTGAGCGTAATTGTAGACACAACAACAAATCTCATCACATGGCTTGACGTATGAGGAAGTATTGTTGTGTGCTACGTGGTTATTTAAAATAGTTCCTGATAAAGTTGTATCTCTCAGAAATGTACTTATGAGCTAAGCTGTGTGTTGTTTTCAGATTGGTGATTTTGCCTTTTTTTTTTTTAAGTTCTTTACTGAAAGCAGTAACTTCCAAGGGACTTTGAAAAATCTTGCAATTCTCCCTTAAAAGTCTGTCAGAAGAGAGAACAATAGGTAATGAAAGTAGCTGGAGGATTGGCTGGCAGGACAGCTAGTTGTCTTGTTGCTTAGGACAAAAATTCTGGCTTTTCCTTGAAAATCAGAAGTTGGTATATTGAGTTTGGAAGCACTAAGCGTTCGGAAGAAAATCCCTCATTACACTTTCATATCACATTGCTGTTTTAAACATCACTAATATGCTGCTGGAGCCGTGTGGCAGTACACTGGCTGCGAGCTCCCAGTATTGACTTAGCACATCCATGTCCTGCAGTTTCATCTGGAGCTGTGCTGGTTGTATTCCTATGTGCTACTTGAGAAAACGTTCCTAAAACTATACCAAGCATTCTGTGTCACAGCCTATATAGAAAACACTTTTATTAATACACAGAACTGTTCTTTTAATGATGGCACCTAATTAAAACAAAAAAAGCAGCTGGCAAATGCGGTCCAGACAGAAAGCCTTCTTATTGTCTTGTGTGGAAGAGGAATTTCAGGAGGAGGTGAGAGTTGTGCAAGCCACCAGCCTCCCACTGCAGCAGCCAGGGTGCTTGGAGGTGCCACTTCCTTGAAACAGGGGAAGCAGGGGAAGGTTTGTGTGCTCTGTGGTGCAGGTGTGTGGTGTCATTTCAATGACAAGCCCTGTGGTTGTGTGACAGGATGATTTACATGGGAAATGCAGCTCTGCAGGCTATTGGGAAACCAAAGCAGGAACTGCAGTCTTGCATGAGGAGACATCTGGGTTTCTGCCCCAGCATCCTGGGAAATCAAGAATCATCCCTGAAGGATGATGCTTTGTTCGTAGTAGCGCTCTTTATGCTGTCAATGCTCTCAAGATCAACTCTACCAAAGGCAGCCATTCTGACCTCCTCACATTAAAAAAAAAAAAAAAAAGACAGGCATGTGTGACCTGGATAGTAGAAAAATAGTCTTTTACTGTTCATCAAGTTTTTTTTAACAGATTTTTCCTTTGAATTAGGTAGAGGAGGTTACTAATTAGTTTTGGGTCTCTGATTTTGCCAGTGCTGCATTTTTTTTTTTTTTTTTAGCACTTGTGATTTGCCTTAAATGTACTGTGCTTGCTATATCTAGTAAGCTGTGTTTTCTCTTTTAAAGGCATGCAAAACAAGTCCATGCCCGTTATAATCTCATTAAGTTCCTCTCTAGCTGTTTCCCCCTTTGGTTGTGGATATTGCCCATATTTGGTTCTAGCTGTGGTGCAATCAGTTTATATCTGATTGTGTGGTATGATAAGCTGTCTTGCCTGAGCAAACCCTGATAATTTATGATTAGATGTGGCCTAGATTAGCATCTTATGATTTTAATGTTTAAAAGTACATTATAAAAGATCTTTTATAATGCAGTAGCAACAAGAGGCACAAGGACTTGCCTACAGCAAAGCTTCTCAATTCAAACCAAGGGGATGGTATGAATTATATAGTTTCTTCCTTTAGAGTGCCTAAATAATGTACCCCAAAATATGGAGACGCTTTTGCATTACCAGGAAACTCTTCAATTTGCTTTAATAATTATCTACTTTCACGATTTTATAATCACAGCTCTTGTGAAAACACATGCTCTTGCATTCTGAGTTGCATGTTTGTATTATACTTTAAAAATTGAACATCTGAAACTTTATTTCTCTCCTAAGCACCTTAGTGACTTATTATTAAAAGTACTCATGGTTTCAGAAAGTGCTGTGGACTTCTAACCATGATTTCTGCTAGTTGTTATGTTATAAAATGATTTATTAATGAGAAATTGTCAATGTAGGTATTTGTTGTTCTGCTTTTGTGCATGTATATCAAGTGGGTAAGAATATCCACTTAATTTCTACAAGAAGAGAGCGGTAATCAAAACATTTGGTAGTGTTGCCTAAAATATTTTTACATAAGCATCTGTTTGGAAAGGCATACAGGTAAACTGTCCAGGTGTTTTTCAGAGTTTCTTAGTCACAACATTGCACTCATCTTTCCAGCTGAGCTTCCTGTTTAGATCGTGCTGAGAAAATAAAAGTGCTGCTTTACATTCACAGTCATTGTATTAGCAGTGAGGAGGAAAGGTTGAGGAACAATCTTTGCCTAACAAGTGGCATCTCAGAAATGCTACATTTTTGGTTTTTTTTGAACAAGATCACGTTACTAACAGTTTCTAAGCAATACTTGAACTGTAAAGCTGAAGTTTTCCAGCAAGGCAAGCATACAATTTTTTGATGATGACTCCAGTGTATTTCAAATCCACTTTAAGACATAATTATCAGCTGTCATCTGGAAAAATGCTGAGAAATTGGTTCAACATTAAGAAAAGAGAGCTTGTGATATCTACCTTAGAATTAACAATCTAATGTTCTCCCACCCCAGCATCTTGTGGCTGTTCTTTGTGCTTTCATACTTAACAACGAAAAGAGGAGTTTGTTGGTTTGTTTTGCTGCTGTATTCTGATTTGTAAGGGAGCATTCAAAAATTCATTTGCTCTTTAACAGTACATTTCTTCTCTCAATAGCCAACTACTCCACCAAGCCAAGGGAGGCCTGATTCACCAGTTTATGCTAATTTACAAGAACTGAAAATATCTCAATCTGCACTTCCACCACTACCTACAAGTGCTCCAGTCCAAATAAATGGGGAATGGGAAACCCATAAAGATACAACAGGACGCTGTTATTACTACAACAGAGGATCACAGGAGCGAACCTGGAAACCTCCGCGGTGGGCCCGAGATGCAAGCATTAATAAAGGGGATTCCCAGAGCCATGCAGATCATGAGGTAGTTCCTTCTGAGATCACAAGCATTGAGATTGTAATGCATATGAATGCTCTTTTGTTGTGGAATTTGGTATCTCTGAGTTTCAAGCTGTCAAGGAGTGTCTTAGTTTCTCTTTTTTTGTTATGTGTCTTGGTATGAAGTAGTCAACAGTTTCACTTCTCAGTTACTTTTGTGTACAAGAATGTGTACATGAACTGTGTACAAGAGTACTAAGTTGTAAAAATGCCTGTAAAAACAGCTCCTCAGCAGGTATTGCAGCTTTTGACTAGATTATCTTCAGACCATAAACATCTCTTTTAGATATATCAATGGATTTCTTTTCATTATATAAACATTTTGCTTTGGGAAAGCTTTGCTGACAACCTTGCTTAAGAGAGTTGAAGCTTACTGTGAAGTTATTTGTGTTAAAAGATAATTTGGGATAATATTTGAGGTGTCAATTTATTCTGTACAACCAGTTGGTAGGGAAAGCCAGACAGTGATGTCTGTTTATCTGAACTGCAGTGGTTCAGATTAAGCAAAAGAATAGTTGTGAGATGTATATTTCTATTTAAATATGCTTAAAATAGTGATCTTCTGTTCAAACAGTACTTAGGTTAACCAGTTTCCTGATTGAAAGAAAAAACAAATACTTATCAAGAAATCTTCTACACACTTCACTTTTATATACCCTTTTCAAATATATATAGTTTAGGTGGATTTTTTTGTGGGCCAATGTATTTATATAAACTATATATAGCATATATATCTATCTCCCAACTGTGGACTGCTCAAAAGTTTTTGATTGCTGGAAGCCTGACGTAGAAGTCTACCCCTGGAACAGTAGTAACAGAAACAGGAGAGAAAGAGAAAAAGGAAACCTTTCATTGCCTTTGGTGATGGTCTTCCTAGTAGCCACTACATCCTCAAACATTTAAATAGCCAAATTCTCTTGCCACAGGCTAATGGCAGCAATAGGTAAACAGGTGAAATGTTGGTGCCTTTGACTTCTCTGGTGATGGTCTATTAATTTATCCCTGACTGTCCTTTTGCTGGATAAGATTCTGATTTTAATCTGGATAAGGTGATTACTTTTTTGAGTAGTAATTCTCCTTGTAGTAAGTGTAACTGGTTTTCTTGTTGCCATCATTCTTCCTTCTTTTCATGGAAGGTCTTGTAAGAATTCTTTCTCCCTTCCCATCTGCAAGTGATCCTTTTGATTCTTCCTCATACCTCTGTACCATGACTTCATCACATGGTTGCATCTTCAGAATGCTTGATTTTGTTAATTTTTTTTTTATTGCCCATAACATCTTTCAGCTCAATTCTTCTGTTTATTTATGATGCTTGAGGTATCACAGATTGGCCTTCAGACCGTTATATCTATCAAGTTTTCAGTCTTTATGAAACCAGTGGATGACAATACATGTTTTGATTTTTAACTAGACACTATTTGTATTTCCAGTAGCATAAGCTCCTTAAGTAATTTGTGTCTTGAATGGATTATCAAAGTTTGAGTCTAGGGAGATACACGTTGCAAAGTCATCTCAATCCACTTACCAGCAGTCATGTGTTGATTTTGAAGCTGTTTTGGTGGTTTTTTTTTTTTTTTTTTTTTTTAGACCTCCCTTCCCCCTGCTTGCCTTTTCTGTTCTGCCTTTGAGATTGTACAACACTGTTTGTGTTTTTGTGTTCCGTTTTGTTTTTGACCAAAACTTAAGATTTGGTCAAAAGTACTTAAAAAAATAGAGTAAAGGTTGAGATCCAAGCCTAAGCTACAGTAAAATATAGGGCATCCCAAATTTTGTCTGAATGTGAAGAATTAGAGTAAATATGTCGTAATAATTAGTAAAACTAGATTTAATTTATTATAATAAAGTTAAGTTGTTTTTTACACTAGTCTGAGTTATGCTCATTTAGTGATAAAGGAGCACATGCAGGAAGGTAAAATCCTAGTTGTATCTTTATTGATTTGTCCTCAGAGGAGCTTATATCGTATTAGGTAGCAAAATGTCAAAGTGATGTAAAAATGAGAACTTTGAATGATCACGTATTCTAATATATGTGTAATATGTTAGAACATGAAATAGTTTATAGTCAGTCTTAGAACTTTATGGTTAGGAAATTGAATTTTATTGGCTAATTAAGAAGGGGCAGAATTGCACCTAATTTGTCAAAGAAGTTGGTAACAGCCATGGCACAAACAGTTGTAGCTTATGACAGTTCTATGGTTGTTATATTGTTATATGGATGGGGTGTGGAAAAGCAGTGAAGTCCTATTGACAGGACCTCTAGAAAAGTGTATAGATTTTGGAATTGCAGATAAAATGTATTAGAGGTAGTGACTTCCTAAGGTATTTGAGGAAGGAGTGCTTAACAGTAACTAGGAGAAATTTGTCAAATGAAGTGATGTAATTAAGTTGGACTGTAAAAGGAATGAGAATGTCACCGTATCAGAGAAAGGCAACCCTCTAATACCCAGCTAGGAGGCCATAACATGAAGCAGATATCAATAAATTACCCAACAAGCTGTAGAAAAGCAAAGGAATTTCATTTAAATTCAAAACTACATTTAAAACATATGACCAAGGTACAATTTCATTCCCTGTTTTTTGTTCCAAGACAAACAAATGGTAATATAGGGATGCTAGCTTCTTTAGTTAGTGTTCTTTATTATTTTCATTTTTAGAAGTAGTAGTGACTTTAAAAACTAGACTAGTTAAGTTACAGAAAAGAGACAGTAATTGTTCCTATTAAATGCATGGTGATGAACTGGTCTCTGCCCCCAAGAATTTTCAAGGTAAATGGAAAAAAGCAAAGAAGTGATAATGTAGGGGACCTTTTCAGTAATTCCCTTTAGTGTCACAGCAACTTTCTCACAAGGTGAAAGGTTGGGCAATTGTCTGCTTAAGATGACTTTATTTAAGTGTGGTATAGCATAATTGGGGATGGGACTCTGGGGAAAAAAGCATGGATCATACTTAAAAAGCATATAGGCAGTTAATACAGAAAAAGTGTTGAAAGTGAAATTGAAAGCTGTTGAATGTGGTTTGGCCAGCATTCTCTAACCCCTGTTGATGCAGCTCTAGCAGTTGTTTCTGCTAGCTGAGCGACAAGGAATGCCTTGGCGTGGCAAGCTTTGTAACAACTCAGGAATTCTGTTGAACTTTAGATCTGCAAAGGTACAGGACATGAGTTAAACCTTGAAGCATCTAAATGTCATTATGTGGATACCTTACAGATAGACACATTAACAGTCGTTCTTACTGAACAGCAGTTATTTTTCTAGGAGAATTTTCATTTTTAGGTCTTCTGTTTAGTTTTACACGTGTAGGGTGTTTCTTCAGTATCAGGAGTTATTCGGAAGAGGCAAATACAAATGCAATATATCATTACAATACCAGCTGATAGTAATAATAAAAATGTCCAAAGTCTACTACTTTGACCATATGTCAATGCAATAAATATTTAACCATTAAAACAAGGTAAACAAAATACATGTATACAATATCATTCATTCACCTTTGAGCCTGCGCAGTGGATTTTTTAGGTAAGACAGAACATGTGCGGAACTGGACCCACCCTTTAATCCTAAGGTTCGTCTGCCTGGGCCAAGCAAGCTTGGACAGTGGCAGTGAGGTCCTCAGGACGTAGGTTTAATTAGTGACCTTCTCTTAGATGGATGGCCTTACAGGGCTAAGTGAGCTCCATCTGCCTGGATTTGGAATTAGAGTTGTCCTTCTCCTAGGATGACTGCCAGAAGGCTAGCAAGCTCATCCTGCCCATGTATACAATATAGTTATCTTATAAAACAGTAGTTCAAGTGGGGCCAATATCAGCAACTCCTCAGTCTTAATTCTGCAAGTATAAAAATGGGACTGAAGACTCCCCATAGTGGTTAGAAATTGGCACATGAGAATTTCACATTATCCCACGTGCAAGAGAGGTAGTATTGGTTAATCCATAGTTTACATGCTCACATTCTGTAAACTGTGGAGCACACTTAAATTTTTTCATGTTCCTTTATTAATGATCTGAAAATGTCCTGTGGGTTTTACTGTGCTTGTTTAGCTGGCTCGTGTCAGTGGAGGGACTTTGTCACACAAGTGGTAAGGTACTCAGAAAAGTAACACCAAAAACCTGTGTAGAAATCATTTGGAAATGTCACTAAACAGTGTGGTCTCTAAACCCACTGATTTTTAAAAACTGTTTCTGATAACTGAACATTTTTTGTAAGATTTAAGTTTTTAGGAGAGGTTTTTTCCTATTTAAAATTGAAATTCTGTTGTTCTCCTGCAGTCCTCTCCTTACAGTTTTTCTCAAAACTCTTATGCTAGTGTTACTGAACAGTAGTCAGTATTTTACTGCTGTAGTTTCTGAGTAGCAGGATGTTCCCTCTGAAGTGTTAATGCCTCCTGCTAGCTGAGGATCCAAGACACTGTGAAAGGAAATCTACATTGAATTCCTCAGGAGACCATGGCATAGAGATATTATGGGAGATGAAAACAAGGAGATTTTTTTTGATGCACGGAATGGATGCTTAGACTAAGACTACAGTACATTAGCAAGGAGACAAACAAGGTTTACAGGGAGCAGAAATTGTTTGACATGTGTGCAAAATCTTTTTTCTGTATTGCACACGTCAAACTTGTTCCACACATTATAATTCACTTCTATCTTCAGAAAATAATTTTGCATCTCAACTAGCTATGCCTGGTAGAAAGCCTTGCTTTTGCATTGCTCTTTGTCACGTGTGTCAGAGTTGGAAGAAGGACAGTGGAAATTCCTAGTATTTTAGGATGAATGGCTCAAGTGCTCTGAAGTGCGTGGGCATAAAAAGGTGCAACTGGAGTTTCAAGTTGTCCTTAATGATAATTGTGTTTCCAAATGTACTTGAGAAACAAGAAAGGATTTAGGTATGAAAGTTGTGATATTGCCAGAAAACCAAGTTAGCAGGTATCCCAGGTTTTTTGAAGCAGTGCAGATTACTAAAGCTAACTCTCTTCATCATTCAGTAATGTTAATTTGTAGGAATAAAATTTAGATAAGCAAAAAACCCTGGAGTTTAGAATTGAGTAGATGAAACTTGGTATAGTGGAAATAAAAAAAAAGATGTATCAGTATAAACCAGTTGTTTTGAATATACTTTGAATTGTCTGTACTGTGAAAATGCATCTTATTCTCTGATGTAAGATATATAATGAACTCCCTGAATTCATTACTATTCTCTTTCTAGTCAAATAATCTTTGATCTTTCAGATTTTAAAGCACTTTCATTCTCAAAACTGCCTTATATGTTTCTGACTACTTATAGCATCTTTCATCAGAAGAAAACGACCACAGTTCTTGTTACAGCCAGTCAGATAGTCAGTATGGTTCTCCTCCAAAGGGTTGGTCAGAAGAGTTGGATGAACATGGTCAAACCCTATATACCAATGACTATACTAATGAAAAGGTACTTTTTCTTTCTTCTCATCACGTGTTCTAAATCTTTTCCACTAATTCACTTCTAGAAATGAAATCTGCATTTCCAAAAGTGAAAAGCATTCCTCAGGAGTATCTCCTTTTGTTTTCTTAAATATGCATGAAACTTTAGCAACTGAACTGACTTTTTTTTTGTATGTATGTTCTTTGCTATCTAAAAAGTTTTCTTATTTCTGGTTGCGTATTAGATATTATTAAATGAACATATTATGTATAGTTGTTGTAATTTCCACCCTTCCCCATCCTCCTGGTTGTACTTCAGGAACGAACTTCTTACTGTCCTTTCAGAGCTGCTCTTGTCTACATAGACCTTCCAGTCAGGATGGTTTTGAACTGAATGTAATATAATATTATACAACTTTATCAGTTTCATGATTTCCTTTATCAGATGTTTTCGATACTGCTTTCAGATTTAGACAAACTTTGTAATTAAACTACAACCATATCAGCAGATTTGTGCTCTATTCTTATTGTCTAACTGCTACAGACAACTTACTGTTATTCTGGGCATGTCATAAGAAGTTCTCCCACATAGGATAAAGGACAGTAGTTGCTTATATTTGCAAAGCAGTCCATTTTTCTAATTGTTGACTAAAGTTGCATTTTGGTTTTTTAAACTTCAACAGTGTTCACTGAAACAATCCTTTTTTAATCGTATTATAGCACCACCTCTTCTCTAGTTGAAGTATGCAATTTTTATTTGCAAGAAGTTTTTAAATAATTGAGTTTTATCACAGTTTTGGAATTTTATCCTATTTCATCTGTTTCTGATAAACATCTGTAGAGAGCATACCTCTGTTTTAGCAGATGTGCTGACTTTTTTTAATATGCACTGGAATTGATAAAAACAGTGTTTCTTATCACATTTTATTGTAAGATGATTTTGTGAAACTTGCTTGAGCCAAGAGCCTTGCTGTGAGTGTTTCTGTGCGTATTTTTCTGCAGTATTCTTGTAGATTTTTGCTCATCACAATTCTTTTCTCTCTGCATGACCAGTCGCAGTTGTTATGGGTTTACCTCTTTGATTGTAGGAGTTGCTTATAGAGGTTACAGAAATTATATTATCTTCATGTTTTATCAAGGAACTGCATCTCATTAATGTTTTTTAAAAGTTGTTCAACAGAAGTTGTTCAACAAATGTATGTATCTTTTAAATTATCAGCAGTTGCTGACTGAGCTTCTTGTAATTTTATCTATAAGATCCTGACACAGATGTGATGAAAAGATTGTGCCTCCTTAAATTGAGAATGTAATGGTGATGAGAATGAGATATGCCATCTTAAAAGAATATCTATTTATCATAATCTCTTGTGTGATATTGCAGGACTGTTTTCTGAGGAGTTACAAAAAGAAAAGATGTTAATGAACCCAATTCAGGATGTTGTTCTCATTGCAATCTAACCTTGGTTAATTAATGTAGGTTGTGCATTAGACACTGCTGAAGTGGATGGCACTTTATTAAAAATTAACTTTAAATCTCAGGTCTCAGAGATTTTGTTTCGACTGTCACTCTGATTACATTTTGTATCATCACATTTCTTTCTGCAGTGGATAAAACATGCAGATGAACAAGGTAGACCATACTACTACAGTGCTGATGGTTCCCGATCAGAATGGGAGCTACCTAAGGTGAGTGACCTAAAAAAGAAACTTTAACAACTTGGGGCTTTCCCCTCCTCCTGAATACATGTTCTATGGGGCCTTTAATGGGACTTATTCACCATAAGAGGACTTAAATATTGCACTTTATTTACTGCATTTTTGTGTAATTTTTGATTGTGAAGAGGAAAAAAATATACTCGAGGACATGAAAAATGGATTATTCAGATGTCAAAGGAGATCTTGTATCTCTGCTGAACTGAGCTTTTCATGCAAGGCTGCAGAATAATATCTGTGATTTTGCTGTGATAAGGAAACCTTTATAGGAAAAAAGAAATTTTTTTTTGCTGAAAAATGTCCCTGAGAAACTGGTCTATTTTTAGTAGCCTCCTAAATGCTTATAAGACAAATGTTGAAAAACAATAGTTTTAGCAGAGTTTTGTGGTATCTTTGAGGATGACACTGTTTCACAAGGTTGTGTTCTGGTATTTATTAATTTTGTAATGAAAATAGAAATTTGTAGGGAAGTGACAGATCTAGGGACACTTGGTAGTCTGAAAATGTACCTAATGCTATTTAATTCTCATTTTCACTTTGAAAAACTATAGGGCATTTGTCATAATGATATTGTTGTATACATCTTTTCTCCTATTAGGATACTTGTTCAATCCTACATAGTAAGGTGTGACCAGTAAAAAACTTGTGTTTTACATGGACTTGTGTGCATAAGTGTATGAAAGAGCATGTTTCTCCATTATTGTTTCATCAGTACAAAAATCAGTGTCCCAAGTCACTTTCACTTTTAAAGGAGCAACCTTAATAGATAGTGCTTTCATAATATTTGTGAGAAAATATTTGCATTGAAGTTTGAGTGAAGTTAAATACTAAGCTGTTTTGTTATCTTAGTAGAAGAATTTGTATCTGAGTCACTGAAGAGTTGATTTGGGTTTGGGAATTCTCCTATGTTAGTCTGACGTTAAATAACTTAAATTTTGTAACATATATAAATGTAACAATATGATCTGTACCTATTGGTTTTAAAAGCTATGTAGCTATTGCTTTATTATCAGATTTATTAGACATCTGAAAATCTGATAGACCGGGTTTTACCAGAAGCAATTATTGGTTCAGTATATATAAATGAAGTTAATTTTGGGGAAAAATGTCTTGGGTACTTCTTTCTATGACTTCTGTAATGCAGAATGTTTTGACTTGGAAGAAGCTGGTTTTCATTAAAATGTATTGAGTTTGGATTTGAGCTAAATAGCAAATTGCCTTTAATTCAACTAGAATAAGTCACAAAGGTACTAGTACTGTTACCTGAGGCTTATTAGGATTTATTCTAGTATTAATTAGTGCATGCTGTTTTAGTGATTATAAATAAAATCTGAGTTCTGTTGTATTAACAGTCACCTCCAGAATGAAACATAACCTTTGTTTTGGAATTAGTGATCTGATATGCTTTAGTTCTTGTTTATATGAAAGTCATCACATATTACTGTTACAAATTTTCCTTGAAAATTATTTCTTATTCATGTGGGCAGAATGTACTTTTTAATTCCTTCTTGAAACTAGTAAATCTTGGCTGGCAGCAAATGTAAGGTTAACAGAAGAAAATGAGCATTTGACTCTTGGATTCATGATCCAAGAGCCCCCTATGTATTTCCAGAAATCCTTAGCTTTTAACTTCAAATCCTGTGGAATAGATTAAATATTTCAACAAAAGATTTTGGCTAGTTTATATAACTGTATATTTGGAGATGTTATTCTTGTAAGTAATTAAGTGTGATTGAAGATTAGTCTCTCAAAGATCTTACTGAAGCTGGCTCTAAATGTACTTAGAACAAATGAATTGGAAAGACAATGCAGACCACAAAACTGCTTTGAAGAAAAATAATCTATTTTGAAAACTCTCATGAGTAATGAAAGAAAACCATAGAAAGACTTTGGTGTTATAACACTTGCTTAAATGAAAAGTAAGTTACTAGGAAAAAACCCTACTCTTGGTCAGTTTTAGATCCCAGTGTATTTAGCTCAAATATTGCCTTCCAAAACTTGTGAAATAAAGTGATGGAACAGCATTGTCATGTAGTGCTGTTAAACTAGAAAAAGAAGATAATCCTTTTGTTAGATGGTTCTTAATAATCTGAACTTCTTTAGAACTAAAAATGGTTCAGAGGTTTCTGGAAATAGCACACTAGCTGAGCTAATACTGTGACATTAAAAATCTTCATGGTAATAGCATTAACTGTAAATGTGCACATGCTTGAGAATAACAGTTTTCTTGTATGTGTGTTAAAAATTATGAGGGTATATGTTGGGAAGGGAGGGCAGTTACAAAACAAATTACTTTAGACAGTCTCACAGAAAGCCCTCCAGTCATGTGAATTTAAATAACATCTAGGAATAGCTGAATGCCTCTGGCTGAAAACAATGTTTCAGATGAAGTAGCTTTGACAACTGCTGCAAAGTCTATTAAGGCTCATGATGAGTGTGACCCAGCTTTCTGTAGTGGAAGAGAAGAACATAGTGAATTAATCTTTAAAATGGGTAATAATATTTTAACCATAGTCTCTACTACATCTTGCAAAAGACTTTGAGTTTTCTGCTATGCAGCATTCTGTTGGTTTTTGCCAGTTATTAGAAAAACCCAAACAACCAAACAACAAAAAAAAACAACAAAGCAACTAATGAAAGTTCATTCCTGTGCAGATCACTATGATAAAATATTTTTATTTCCTGTGTAGTGAATGAATAATACCTAAATCATGCTGAGAAGGGCTACAGCCCTATTCCAGAAACCTAGTTTTCTAATATGAGTTTTATGACTTTAGCAAATGAGAAATTTGTATTAAGGGTGGGGGTAATTAAATTGATCTCAGGAGTGAGAACACTCTAATTTCTAAAGTTTTTAAAAAAGTTAATCTATCAAAATGACAAAAAAAGTGAGGAAAGCTATGTAATAAATATTGAAAAATAGCTCAAAGGGGAGTTAGAGAGGACAACCTAATAAAAAGTAGAGATCAAAGATCTCTCTGATTTTTAAAATGCATTCCTAAGCCGATACCTACCCTCCTCTGAGTGAGCTTTCTGATCCGAAAGTAGCCTTTGAAAGAAAATAAATGTATACTATAATCCTCTGGAGTGAACTCATTGTTTTGGTGTTAATATTTACAGACTGTGACATTGCAATTGCATGTTTTCTTCTCACAAGTGCCTGCAGCATTAGCTCCCCTTGCTGTATCCACAGAAGAAGCAGTAGGTGGAGGAGCTTAATTTTTAGCAGTCTTAATGGACCAACACTCTGTTAATTCACTCTGTGCACTGTCAACATGGGGTATGAGCTCAGGGGCCTCAGTTCTGGTACTCGGGGGATGATTTTCCTGTTGGAGACCCGAATGCCATCAGACAGAGCATGCTAGCTGAAAAAATGACAGTAAAACATGATGCAGGTCATGTCAGGAAGATATATCACGAAATCATATGGTGAAAGGAAATAAAGATGCCAACGTGTAAAGAGGGCTTGGTTGTCTTCTGGTAAATTTGTCGTCTTCTGAGCTGTGCTGCTCCTTTTGACGTTACAGACTGTGTGTGTTGGCAGTTGTATCTACTGCAAGTCAATGTACTGGACAGTATCATTGGCAATACTGAATCAGCTTCACATTCTTGTACTAAAATTTTGGATTGCTTGGTGGAAGTTGACACAGTCTAGCTGGTCGAAGGATCTAAATTGTTTTTAATGACACAAGTGGCACAACGAACCTGCGATAAGTATGAGAAGACAGATTTTTTTCCCCCTCTTTTTCCTTTCTCTTTAATATGTATATTTGTACTCACAACGCCTGGTCTGGTCTTCCTCATTTGTCCTGGTGTTTGGTGTTTCCCACCTGCCTTCCCTCCTCCCAGATAAGATGAGGGAGGAGGGGAAAGTGCCCCCAGCTTTTGCTTAGGCAAGCAGCAGGGCCTATGGCAATCAGTGCTGACCTAGAGCTGCTCATCAAAGATGAGCAGTCTTGGTGATCCTGAGGATTAAAAGGTGAAGCAATGGGCATCCAAGACAGCAAAGCAAACAAAACAGGTTATTCAGAGGTGTCTTTCAGTCACTTGTATGTTAGAGCTAGAGCTGCTTGTCCCAGGGGTCTCTTCATTCTGCGTGGGTTCTGTTCCTTCAAGTGCAGCTGATGCCTCCAACTGCTACCACCCAGGCATCCTATGGCAGAGAATGAAGAATCACTTTCCCTAGAGAAGGAAAGGGAATAAAGTCCTTAAAAAGATAAAAGTATTTTTTATTTATTTATGTAGGTAAAAAAAAAAGTATTACTCATTTAGTTGATAAGTAAAGGATAAACTGTAATGTAGTTGTTTATAACAACACAAAAAAAGTTAGTTCAAAACCAATGACAGTAGTAGCACTAGAAAGTTGTTTTGTTCTGAGGCAACATTTAATTTAAAAAAAAAAAAGAATCTTCTATTTCAGGCAGTGTATTGGGACAACTGCCAGTAATGTATGAGGTGCTAAAGGGTACTAGGGTAACACAATTTTTTAAATGCTGCTGTTTTGATCACTGATTGCGTAAAGGTAAAATACTTGACTTCAGGTCTTTACTGACTTTCAGTACCCATTGCTTCCCAGTCTTTTCTCCCTTCACTCACCCAGTTCCTTTCATCTGACTGAGAATTCATCAACACAAACCAAGAAGAATATTTTTTCTTTCTTAAAGCTGACATATCTGTGTCATCTCAGTAAGAATGGGGACAACTGCTACAAATAACTTGGAGGTGTTACATTTATTTCAGCCACAATTAGGCTGGGACAGAGCCTTGAGCCATGCCACATATCAGGTTAAAATTAAATGTAAATCACTCAGCCAGTTGAGAGGGTTAGAAAATTTTATACCAAGGCAAAGAAAGCCTTTACATAGACAGTGAAGGTATTGAACAAATTCAGCAATGAAAAGAATACTGTGTGACCTAAATTTGTACCACTGATGTCCTTAACCTACACCAAGAGCTGTTACAAGAAGATGTCTGTTTTACTTGGTGTGTACATTCAGAGAATGAATAAATTGCTCATGTGCTGACTTCATGATAGGAGATGCTCCCAATGAAATGGGGAACAAACTGAGGTTATGATGGGTTTGTGTGATGTGACAAATTTGAGTTTGTGGAGGATTTTCAAGGAGCATAAGTGTGTATATTTGGAGTTGTATGCCACATTATAAAAAAGCTTTAGAATTTGGAGAATGACATTGGACCCTAAGAAGATGCTATTAAGGCACATGACTGTAGCAGAGATTATCCTGCCAGTCAACGTGTAGTCTTGGATGGGTCAGTTTTACTGCAGTATAGGGCCCTTGCCTGATCTAAAGATTACCCCAAGACTTAGGCCTAGAAAGCCTTCTTAGGGTTATGTAAAAACAAGATCTCATGTGAGGGGAGGCAAGCCCAACCTAGTTGCCTATTTTTGCTGTTAAACAGTGGTAAATATTGTAAAATGCATGTGGGAGAGACAGCAGTTCCTCTGCAGGTGGGTGTCCTGTAGAGGATCAGTAAGTGAATCAGAGCTGAAACTGTTCTGCGAGGGCTTTTTGAACTAAGATTGGGTCAGAGCAGACCAAAGAGTAGAAGGGTGGTGTCATCCAACCTGGTGAGGCTACTGGCTCTGGCTGCTTCCCTCTAACCAGTGGACTCTGCCTGGTCTAGAGGATGAAGAGTTCTGTTGGACAATGTGGAGTCTGGAGCAGTGTCTGAATCTCACTCTGATTCTCCTTGGAGATCACAGATCAGTTCATGTAATTTAAAAGTGGAGGCTTGTCTTGACCCAGAAATATATAAGCTTTTTATTTCCACATCACTTCCCCCCACAACCTTGCCAGTTTTACTATTCATAATGAATAAAACAAACAAATGAAAAACAAACCCTGCATAAAGATCTGAGCAAAAAATGTTTACTTGAAGTCCCTATTGTGAGAAAATGGGGCAAAAATGTCAAATGTTCACTTTAAAGACTTGTCAGTTTACTCGCACTGTTTGTATCACCAATGCAAATTATTTAATCTGCTAAGATGCATATAGTTCAGTGTTCCAGAGTTTTTAACAGAGCTTTGTTGATGAGCTCCATATACTATTGCTTTCCTTTCTTGTTAAATATGTTTAATAAAACTTGAATTTCGTATCACAAGTCCTTTCTCCTTCAAGATGGTGTTGTCTGTTAGATAAGTTAACTCCTGACGTCTTGTGATAATATCAAAGGCACCTTTTAAATATAAACCACTTGTAATTAGACTTGTGCCCATATCCTAGCGTAATTTAAGTCTATGTTGAGACATGGGCACATATCTCAACATATGTTAGGATATGTGCCCATATCTTAGCACAGACTTAAATTCAAGATACCTTACTTTAAAATACATCTTTGTTTAAACTTCAGTTCCTCAAGTTACTCAAATGGAAAGTACACTGAGGATTTCCATAAATAATGTACACCAGTGTCACTAAAGTGTAAATCTATTTCTGAAATAAGTTCTGTTTCACAGCAAGAAATGTGCTTGAATTGCCTACTTAAATAGGTTAGAGCTGCTGCAGGGAATAATGCTTGTTGCAACCATTTGTGACTTAGACATAGTTTCACTGAAAATGGTTTAGATTTTAGCTGTAGTTCTGATGGGCAATTTTGTTTTAGATTGCTCAGCTTGCTGCTGCAGTTTGGGCTGTGGGAGCATCTGCAGAGTGGGTATTTCCATAACAAGAAAGTAAACCAGTATTAGGGCCCTTGCAGCATGAATGATGGTTCAACTTTTGATTTAACAAGGAGACTGAGAGAGTTGCTTGAAACCTCACTATTGTAAGGAAGCATGTTGCCATGTGAGTGTAAATGTGCTGAACCCAGTACAAAGGCAGTGCAGGCTTGGAAGCGAATTTCTGCAGTGACAACCAATACATTTGTCTGTACATGAGCTACCAGCTTTTACTCTCAGTACTGCAAGATCCATTCACCAGGGAGTATTTTTCGCTCTTACACCTATTGAAATAATTTAATGAAACATTAGAGTTATTTATCTTTTAAGCATCTGTTGACTTATTGGAGCATTAGCTCTCTTCATAGTGAAATACAAAGCTAACTCAAGCATCGTGACTACCATGGCAGTAGTAATGCTGGTTCTTTATTTGGGCAATAAATATAACTATTATGCAATTTAGCTTTAGATTTAGCATTTATGTTGTTTAGGTTAAACCTTGGCATGCTTTGTTGTTATATGCAGGTATAGGTTATTCTGTCTGAAGACCTGAGGCTCTGAGCTTACAGTAGGAATCAGTAGCAAAATCATAGAACTCGGTGTGCTTGCAAAGATTATTGCTTTAGCCTTCTCAAATAAAAGGAGCACTTGACTTTCCCTTGTTACTTCTTATCTGGTGGATTCTAGTGCTTTACAGGACTCCAAAAATGTTGCCTTAAATTTCTTTCTATGTGTAGCTTTTAGTTTGATAATGACTAGAAAGAATGAGATTTTTTTAATGACTTAAAAACCCCGTATGCTGATGTTGTCTTTTCTTGTTTGCATTTTCAGTATTAAACTTTGTTTAAAATATTTTTAGAACTTTTTATAATGTATTGATTGTTATGATGTAAAATGTCAACACTAGTAATGATAAGTATGCTACAGTTCTGAGATCTAATTAAATGCTGTGCTCTTCTGATGACCTTCACATTTTCTCAGTCTCTGTATCTTTGCATGAGTTACTAGAAACCCATGTTATGGTGAATACAGTCTGTCCTTGGCTGTTACAGCTCTAATAAGTCTTACAATTATTTCCTGCTAAATATTTATTTTCCATGCTTATAGAATGTGTAGATTTGTACATTGTGTGTACGTTCCACACCAGAAAATTCTTTTATAAGTACTTTGGTGTGTTTATTCTGAAAAAACAAGTCCTCACCCTCAAGTTTTCTCTCCTACACATCCCAAATCTTTGGGTTAAAGAGGGTTATACCCAGGCAATTTTAAGAATTTAAGTACCGTACTGCAGGATAATAGGGTTTTCTTTTTCTTACACATGAACTGGACAGGTGCTATAGTACTGTCAGTGCAATATGAAGAGTGAATGATTAAATATTGTATTTATTGTGATTTCTTGGTGGTTCTCAATACCCTGTTGGGTTGCAAAATCAGCAGTAAGCTCTTGCACAAGAAATCAAATATCTCTCTGCCAATGGAGACTTATCCCAACAGGCCAGTCTGTTACTGCTTCAAAGAGGACTAAAGGAGAAAGGAGAGTTCTGAAGACCAAATGCAAAATAAAACCAAGGTTGTTTTCACATCCTTGGTGACAGTAGGAATCTGAAAGTTTGCACTGTTTAGGCATATGAGTGGTATGTCCAAGTCTTGTTTGCATGAATCAGATTCTACTTACACTTTTATTTTTCTCTTCTTTAGTATAATGCTTCACCACAGCAGCAGAGAGATATAATAAAGAGTAGGAGTCTGGACAGGAGGCTACAGGAACCAATAGTTTTAACAAAATGGAGGCACAGCACAATTGTGCTGGACACCAATGACAAGGTAGGAGCAAACTCAACAGCATGCTGAAATACCAGCTGTTTCTCATGTGTTAAGTATTTAATGTAACAGAAATGAATAAGCATGAATTTCTGAAATTTCATTTGTATGTTCTCTTGTATCATGTACAACGTTCAGCAAAGCCAAGGGCTGTTCAATAACTTTACTACTGTTACTTTGTGAATAGTAGCTCTTTTCTTGTTGTCCTTGAAGTATTTTAACTAGTGTTAGTTCAGGGGTTGGCATGTATAGCGATTTTACTTATGATTGGGAATTTCCCAATTCAGTTTAAGCTATGAATTGTAATTAGGGTTTGTATTTGAGAATTATGGATGTGGGCAAGGCTCTTCTGTAAGGTACAGTGATATTTCAAGCCTGAATGTTTTAATTGTAGGAAAAACCAAGTAGAAATACACTTGAAAGATTGCAGACAAATAATTGAAAGAATTGAAATAAAAGTTGCATTTGCCAAAGTAAAAACTATGACATAAAGATTTAAATAGTAGTGTTATATAGTGTATTTATCTTTTTAATGATGGTTCCATTGAGTGCCACTCTAATATTTCGAGGAAAGAGGAAGAGCTGTGTGTGGTTCTTGCAGAGTTTTAACGTTGTTATTGAAGGGCAGAGAACGGTACTGAAAGTGCTGAAATGCTTGGCTTTGATCCTGTCCAGAGCTGAGCTGGTGTTTAGTCTGAAAAGAGCTGTGGGTCAGTAAAAACAAAAGCTGTTTTCTACCCCTTTTTGATAGCCTGTTTTGGGCTGCACAGTAACAGATTCTGTTTAGGCCAACAAGGAGATGGGGCCTCTCTCTCCCTTGCTCTCCCTCTGCCTGTCTCTCTTCACTTTGACTTTTGTCCCAGCCATTTCTGCTTGTGCTGGGACATTCTCCTCACCCACAGGCAGAGTTGATATGAGCTGAGGAGGGAGAAACTGAAATGGGTGGTGTAGGGTGGTGACTTGCTGTTTTCTTAAACTTCACTGCACTCTGTCCCAAGATTCATGGAAAATGAAATACTTTGTGATGCTGAAATATTAGTACAGACTACTCAGAATGAGATACCAGGAAATGGCATTGTAAACTCCACTTTCCTAAAGATACAAGAAAAAATGAAATTAATGTAGATTTGGGAGTGTAAGGAAAAACCTGAGTGGGCTTGTGTAACTGCAGATGTCAAAAGAAATGTAAATGGACAAAACACAGTAGTTGTAATGAAAAGGGATCTACTACTCAGAACTTTACTTGCTCGGCTTGTTGTTTCCAGTACATTTTCATAGACTTCCTTTTCAGGAGTTGACTTAGTTCTTCAGAACAGGATTTATTGGAGTTGATCTTGAGCTTTTGAGTTGTCAGTTTAGAATATATCCTCTGTGGTGTTTAGGAGGCAGTGGACCATGGTTGGCTGGGGAGTTTGCACCTGTACACATTAGTTTAGCTTGAGCAATTCTGAGATCCCGCTACTGCTCCTTTCCCTTCCTCCTCCTCTTCCTCTGCCTTACACATCCTTCTGTACTCAGAGTACACATCCCAGTGTACTCAGGCACTGCATGAGAGACAGCCTAGATGGAACCCTGATAAATCAAAACTGAGTAGACACTTCTAGCTTCATGTGCAGTTTATGCCTCACAGGTATGAACAATTTTGTTGGAGGTAGCTTAAAGTTTTGGCTTTGCTTTTAAAGTAAAATTTCTTAATTTTTGGCATAAGATTTACTTCTGTTTTGAAAAGACCTTCATGTAGTGGTGCACTGAATGAAGAAGCTTTTTTAACACATTGAATAAGTTGAGCTGTTTACATTTCTTCAAGTTGCAGTGTTCAGGTATAAGAACTTGAACACAGTGAAGCAAAGATGAATGTGTATAAATCCTAAGTTTAATAACCAAAAGAAATTGTATATGTCAGCCTTATTTGTAAAGCCTAAGGCAGTAGGCTAATGTTCCTTTAACAGCTTCAAAGCATGTAGACAGCATGTAATTTTTAATGGTAAGGAGACTTATAGTTCATATAAAGCACAACATTAATGCTTTGACAAAATTAAAAATACGTAGTGGAACATTAAACTGTTTTGTGGAAAGACAAATAATTTTTAGTGCATTGATGCACCTGTTTTATTACCACTAGCGGGCACACTGTTAGTGTATTTGCTTCAAATTAGTATGTGAAAAGGGAATAGTTTGTTGCCATAAATACTGGGTTTCCTGTTCCAGAGTTGCTTACTGTGTGAAAGCTATCCCAAATGCAGAATGAAATAGGAAGGAAAACAACTGGTATTTGTCTGGATAGGCACATGAACCACAAGTTTGCTTTTTAGCTGACTCCTAGGGAAGCTATCTTCTTTTTATTTTCCTTATTTTCTTTTCCTGGAAAAACAACACAACTCAGTTGTATGAAAATAGACCATTCAAAAGAGTACTTGAAATGTGTCAGAGTGAAAGTATGGGTTGCTATGGCTCATGAGAATTTGATGATACCAAACGTACTTATTAACAGTTTATTGGCTGTGGCACATATCTGTGTATACCCATCAGCTAGAAAATTTCGTAAGCAGAGGAAAAATTACCTTCCTGGAGGGACAGTGTTGCTTTTCTTAAACTGTGAACAATTTTTTTCTCTTTGCAGACAGCTGAAAATATGGAACTCTTAGGCTGTTCTTAGGAGTGCTAAAGCTCTCTGTTATTATGCTACTGAAAACTAGTGGGCCACTTCTGTAGGTAGATTTACAAGTGAATTTTAAAGCACAGGTTTGCAGAGTGTTATGTAATGCTGCAAAAGCAAACTGAATTCGGGAGAGTTATCAAGGGAGTTAAAAAGAGGGAGCAGGGAAAATGTGTTAATGGTGGCAGAGAAAGTGATGTTTTTCTTCCATTTGAAATTCTTTAACAGATTTTCAAGCAGCATGTTTGTTCAAAGCAATCATTACTTCAGAGGAAATGCACATGCCTTCGGTTTTTTTGCTCCAGATGGGCAATTTTTCTAGTTTTCAGAGATTTAATACTTTATTTTTATAAGTGGTTAACATTTAGTTTAAAACAAAAACCCAGACCTCAAGAGATTTTTAGTGTTTGATTATAAGGAAATTAATGATCATGACTCACAAAAATTAATAGAGTTGGTATATGTTTTTCTACACATATAATGATTTGTTATACTAATCTTCTATTTACTAACCACACAGACGTATTTTGTTCTTTATAATATTAGTATTTAGTATGTGATACTCTGTAATAAGTAAATGTGCTTCATAATTTGAGAGCAGCGTCATACAAAAGATCTGCCCCTTAGTAAGGATGAAGGCTTTGCTTTAAGCTGATACAGCATGTATTAACATTTTTTTTCAAATGGTTATGTATTAATTAACCCAATTTGAGTGCTGTCTGGAAACCTTGTAAGAACACTGTTTAGTAAGCAAGTTTAGAATATTGCTATCTGAGAATGTCATGAGTGATGAAAAGAAGTACTTTTTTTCCTAATGTATGAATATGTAAAAAGAGAGAGGGAGAAAGTATCTTTAGGGTTAAAAAAAAAAAGAAAATAATTGTAAGAAAAATAATAACTTATATTGACTATTTGAATTTTCTAGGAATCATCAACTGCTTCTAAGACCAACTTTCCTGAAAATGAGTCCTCTCCTTCTTCACCAAAGCATCAAGCCACAGTCAGTATGCAAAGTGTTTAAATAGATAAGTAGATGTTGTAGAAACTGGGCTATTCATGACTAGAGAATTGAGGGTAAACCTTCTTGTTGTTGGGAAAAATAATGGGGTACAACAATTTGAAGGCTTTACATTTTAAAAGAAATGCTTTACATCCAACTCCACTTTCAGGAAAAAATATAAATTTCTTTGGTTTAAATGCAATTTAGTAATATGAGACTAAATTAGAAATTCACCATGGAATAAAGTTATATCTAATTATGTAGAACTTGGTTTACTTTCTCCAACAGTCACGTCTTCTCATCTAACATCTTGAGAGGTAAAAACAGAAACAGATTCCCCCTCTTCACAGTATCCCTCACTGTCAGTAGTCAGTAATAGTTTGTAGTATTTGATATCTCTAATTTTGACTTGATTCAGTCTCCTTAAAGAGACAGAGGACCTGGCATAAATAAACTCTGTCCTTTTGATTTAGTAAAATAATTAGTGGGTGAAAAACCTAAGCCTGTCAAACCCGTTATCAATGTTTAACAGATTTTTTTAATATCAGTTTATATTTTAAATGTGATTCCTTTTTTAACAGCAGGGAATAATTAAAAAAAATGAAGGTTTTATCCTTTTTATTTTGGAACTGTACTACAGCAGTATTGAAATAAGTAACTTGATCAATTTTACCAGCCCTTTAGTAGGAACCTCAGGGCATTAAAGGCACAACTTCTCTAGTTTCATTCTTACTCTGCATGCAGGGAAATGGTTCTCTGGCTTATTCATGATAATCCATTCTTAGAACTCTTCAAACAGTTTTTCACAATAAAATAAACATTGTTTATCGAGCAAGCATAGTTGATAGCCTTACACAAAAGGAACTATTGCTGCATGTGATCCAATTTCTTTAAATATGGCTCAGACCTTGCATTTCTAAACTTGTGTTTTTCAGAAAAGCTCACTACTACTCTAGATAATAGAAAAAAAATCCATATTTTCTTTAACTATCACCTGGGATTTAAATATTCCAAAGAAAGCTGGTAAATTTTTGAGTATTTTCATCCTTAACTTGCTTTCCACTTCTTTTTCCTGATTACATTAATTTTCCCGTTAGTACCCCCTAGTGTTGCTGCTAAGTAGGGCATTATGATACTTTTTCTGAATAGCTCTTCTGTGGAGCATCCCCACTGGTCCCATCATGAGTAATTTATTAAAACCATAATTTATTTCAGAAAGTACAGGTTGCTCAGTCACTGTGAAAGATGGTGAAAGGCTGTTCTGCTTATTAAAGCCAAAGGCCAATGAAGATATTAATTGAGTAAGAGTAATAGTTGCCACTGGACTGAAATAACATCTGATCCACCAGCTAAACACCTTTGTCCTTTAACATGTCCTTTCTGTATTTTGTGTGCTGGGTTTGAAACATGTAGGTAAAATTTTTAAAGTTCATGAAAAGCAGATCCATGTCTCTGGTAAGAGTGTTGTCATGGTATTCCAGCAAAAAAAGGTTCTTCAATATAGTATTCTGCAGTCAGGGTCCACTTAAATTTGAGCTTTAGAGGAGAATGCTGAAGAAGATTTATCTTGTGTTTTCATTTTATCTGGAATTGAAGTCATTTTTTTAAGGATAAAACTAATTTGGATACTTTCAGTAGTTGATTGTTTCAACTAATAGCTTAGTTAATAAATAAAGTTAGAAACTGTTACTGAAAAGGAATTGATTAAAAAATAATGTAATATTCTTTTAGCACCATTGACTGGGATGACAGGAGAAAATGATAGAATGTGATAACTCATCTTGAGATGATGGTATAAATTAATGATTTTACTTTTTATCCTAGAATGCTTTTTCAAATGTTCCGTTATATTATTATTTTTGCACAGAAACTAGAAATACCTGCAAACATCCTTCTTGTTCAGCAGTGTTCTTTTTCCACCCGTCACTGACTGATCTCCAAATTTTTTAGTAGGCATACTAATATAGATGGTTTTCATCAACAAGACATAACTAAGTAGTTTAAAATTCTAATATTTTCCTTGGGGATAGGAAAAAAAAATCAAAGAAATGTTTCTCTCATCTATTTTTAACATGAATATGTTAGTATTTTCATGCATTTCAACCATGTTTTATTTAAAATATGAAATTGTGTTAAAATTACTTGAAGAATTTGTCAGGGAATTTAGGCTGTTTGTCAGCCTTTTTTAGTAAAGGACAAAAAAACTAATGTGCTATTACACAAATAATTATAAATTTACGTTCATAATTTCCACTGTCTGCTATCACAAATTATTTAGTTTGGTTTGTCCAAATAACCTAGGTCTTGATGAAGGAAAGCTTTTTATCCTCTGAATGGTAATGAGTACTTCCCCAGAGGAATTTTGATTTTGCTGATCTCTGCATATTTAAATATGCTTAAAGACAGTTTCTTGAAGTTATTGCATGGGTAAAGATAGCTCCTTGCCAGCAATTGATTATTTGGGGGATTGAATTTGGTGATGTGATGTTAATAGAATCAGATTTTCTTTTATATTTCTTATATCTTACTCTTATCTTACAGGGCCAAGAAAAGTATGGTTTATTAAATGTGACAAAAATTACAGAAAATGGGAAGAAAGTTCGGTAAGTTTTGGACTTCTAGAAGTGCAGGTGCTTAAGGTTTGTGTAAAGTCTTTTATGTTGGGACAGCATGCTGGGATTTGCAGCTTCTTACTTTTTGTCTGAATTTGCCTTAGAGGCTTTCCTGTAGGACACAGTGTTAATCTTATCCCATGTGTTTCTCCCAGTGAGCTAAAGATAATGGACTTCAGAGAGCTAGAGGCTCATGTATACCAGGACTTCACACAAGGCAGAGAATTCATAAAGGTGTATTGAGGAGAGACAGCTTTTTAAAATGGGATTGATTGACTGATTTAAGAGAAAGTCTGTATAGGCTATAGACTATCTTGTTCCTTGGATAGAATTGGTGTAAGAGGAGCTTTCAGAGTTTCACTCCATGTCCTGTAATTTCCAAGAAGTGTACATGCCATGTGCTCCCTAAATCTTGCTTCACTCTGCATGCGAAGGGTTCAAAGCAGTGTTAACACCCGACATCAGTCTCCCTGTAGGTGATGAGTGACCTCATTTCCAACTTTCTTTCTCTGCCTCCCAGGCAGGCATTTGCACAATAAATCATAATGTGTAATCAGGTAGTGCTGGCTAACATACATTTCTGGTGTTTTGCAGAGTCAATGAAAAATACTGCATAAGTGTGGCACATCCTCAGATTTAATTTAGGTTTACTTTTTACCTTTTTTGCCTTTTTTTTTTTTAAATTTAATCTTTTAGATCTAATATTGTGTTACCTCTAGTTCAATGTTTCTGAGACTTTTGGTACATGAAGGATGCTTTACCTGAGGATTAGATAATCAACACTCAGCTGCTATTCTAGAGCCACCCTGACCTAGTCCAGTGGAGCTGAACAGCACATCTGACCTCCAGTTTGGTTCTGCAGAGATGCTCCTAAGAACTCAGTAGGACAGAGTGGACAGTGGCTTGTGTAAGCTGCTACTGGTGCAATATACTGTCACCATTTCTGTTACATCTGTTGGAGTCACTGGTCTGGATTACTGCTGCTGTACAGAAAAAATGCAACATGTCTACCCTGTCACTTTGAGAGCTGCTGAGTCATAATTTATGTTTGGGTAATGGGGATAGATATTCAGGGCTTGTCAAGACTTTTTTTTTTTTTAATGACCTCAGGAGGACAGGTCCTCAGGCATAAAATCAAATAGACAACTGAAACAACTCGTTTGTTCCTAATTTCCTTAATTTTTTTTAGATTTTCAGCAAATATTTTGTTGCCAATGTAAATTAGCTTATTACATAAATATGGGACACTTGCATTTGAGATGTGATCAATGAATTTCAGAATTATGCAGTACTTTAGCATGATCTGTTAAGTACACATTAGGCTGAGTGTTCCAGATTAGCCCCTTTGAAATTATAATTGCATGGTATTTCTCCTGGTGAACTGCTTCCACTACTAATTAGCTTTGTTTGATTTAGACTTTGATGGTCAGGCTGGGACTGTTAACATACATTCTCTTCTACAAATATGATAGTAATTAAGACTTACTGATGCCACTAATGACTGTATATGCGCTTAAGTATATTAACATACAGGTCAGCTGGGCAACAATGATGGGCAGTTTAAATATCTACTTTCAAAGTCAATTTATTTTGTTTGTTTACAATTATTTACAGAAAGAATTGGATGTCATCATGGGCAGTGTTACAAGGGTCGTCACTGCTGTTCACTAAAACCCAAGGAAGTGGAACTGGCTGGGTAAGCTGAGGAACAACCCCCACCCTCACTGAAGTGTTAGTCATGTAAAGCACAATAAATTAAAGCTCTCTTATTTGTATGGTCTAGATACCAATATATATACACCTAATTTAGAAAAAATAAGAGTGTGTAAGTTGGCGAGAAAATAGTTTAATGTAACAATTATGATGTACCATAAGAAGGAAAACAGTTGTTCTTCTGTGTCTATATTTGACAAGTAAGAAACTGATAAAGAGGTCTTCAGGTGCCCTGTAGGCTTGAAGTTTTTGCACCAGAACAGATATTTTTGTGTTCCTTATTAATGTGTTTGTCTAAACAGTTTGTTTGTTTTACCCTTCTTGGATATCTTTTCAGAAACTCCAAGTGATTTTGAATGTGATACATGTAATAAAATAGTCTGACACTTGGCTTCTTGTGTTGGCCTATTTGAGCAATATCATATTGTTGTCTTATAATTTACTCTTTGTCTTGCTGGATTCCATATCTTGGTTTAGATCTGCTTAGAGCATGGCAAATACTTGTTTCTATTTTGTTGTCTGATGAAGACCTAAAGAGAAACATCACATTGAAGATGATGATTATTCAGTTTATGTCACCTCTAGGGTAATAGCACAATAATTAAATTAGCTATATTTATCCAGCTACATTCCTACAATAATAGGTATAGAAATGGCTTTTTATCTATGCCTTACTTACCTACTTTTGAAGGTCTGACATTAAACTCTGTGGATCTCCTGCAATAACTAAAGACAGGCCAGATTCAGTGTTGGTTATTTTGGTGTATTATCATATGAATTCCAGCAAAATTGCCTGTTACAGATAATGCTATCTTGCTGTTCTTTACTGATTTTTCTACTTGGCTTACTTTCTCCTGCTCTTCATTTTGGGTAGTGAATTGGAACTGACAATTCTTTTCTATAGCATTGAGTCCATTTCAGAGCTGCAAACATATTTTTTCCCCTTCTGCAGAAAAGGGGGTTGAAAAAATTGAGTGAGGATGGATAAATGAAATTTGGAGTAGAAGAGAATAGAAAGGGTAAAGTTGACCAAGATGGTCAAGCAGAGGGAAAAGAAAGGAAGGAAAAAACGTAAAGATGAAAATCATGTGAGAAGGTAAATTATGCTTTATGGTAGGAAGTGGATTTTGGTGACTTCTGCAATTTACTTTTATAGCTAAGGATCCAAAAAGTATTTTAGAGGTGTAAATATGCTTGTTTAGAAAGTAAAACATTTTGCCTGAATAACTAGTCAAGTTCCAGAGTCTTGATTACAGCTACTAATAGTCTTCATCCAAATGTAGCTGTAGATCAAAAAACCTTTTTTTCAGCTATATGTTATTATCATTAAACACACAATGCCAAAGTGTTCATGAAGATATGGTAATGTTATGGGTGATGTGTGCCCAAATGAACTATCCATAAAAGATAACCAATAAGCAGAGTTGCATGGTTTAGGGACACCAGTGTAAGTTGTATTACACCATCCAAGTGTGGTCATTTGGTGGGAAAAATAAAAAGGCATAAATTCTTTTGATGATTTAAGTGGCGCAAAAGTACCATAGTCACAATATTTTTGTGAGACTCTGTCAATTATGTGTACTGTGAAATATTAGAGTAGGGTCAGAAAATGAGTATCAACAGTATAAACAAAATAAAGTGAAGCTGGAAATATTAAGCGAGAAACTCTTTCAAGGACTGAGTGTTGTGTATCTGCATACTCACAGTTGGCTTTGTAAATAATTAAGTATTCAGCACACACTCTTTTTGCTCTCTGTAGGAAATTTTTTTGGGGTATTAAAAATTCCACCTCCCCTCTCAAACTTGGTTCTGTGTGCATATTTTAATAAGGTGACGTCAAGTCTAACAGTTTGACATAAAGAATTACATTTCTTATTCATCTTACAAGCAGAACATTTATTTAGCATTCGTCTAGTGATTGATATAACCATATCTTCTTTTTTTGTGCATTGTTTTGTGACTTCATCACTTTTCTTCCTTTTTCTCATCAAGTCATTTTGCCAAGTGGGCTCAATTCCTGAGCTCTTGCTCTCGCTGCTTTCTTCTTGGAAAAATGCTCTCAGTCGTCGACCTGCTGTCACCTATGTAAACTCTGCCCAAGTTTCAGCTATCACTGTATGTGTTCTTGTTGCATGCCTCTTGTCGCTGTAAGGCTATCTGCCACTAATCCTGAAAGTAAACCTGAATTTTTCCAAGATTTAGTTTTGACACTTCATATAACACCTCACATATCTTATTTGCTGTTTTTGAAAGTCATCCAAGGTTAAAATTAACACAAGTGTATTGCAATAATCCTGTAATTGTTCTGCTGGAACAAAGCAGAAAGTGTATCTGGTTCACTGGTGCCAGAATTATAAACCCAAATTTGCCTACTATTTGAACCACTAGTGCCTTGACTAATGAGTAGCATGATATGGTTAGTTTTTTAACAGATATTTTATGTCTGATTCTTTCTAACACAACTAATTTAGAATCTTTGTATGGTGCCTATGATAACTTTGATACAATGATATAACTGTTGTTTGATAATTTTAGCTATAATTGGAATATCCAAAAATGTAAATGTTATACATAAAGAGATGAAAGAAAAAGAACACAGAGATATTTTTGCTATATTCCACATATAGAAAGCTGATGTAAATTTTGTAGGGCTCTTTTTATATATAATTTAAGCATCTGTAGTTATGTTTTGAAGTCTAGATGCCAAGCACAGAAGTGGTGCTAATCAGAAACTCATAAAATGTTGGTAGCTAGTATGGTAGCTTGTTGCTCAAGGTGAATGAGGAGGAATTTTTTTATTAATACTAGTGTGAAAAGTAAGTTCTGAAGCTCCCTTACCAGCCACAAAGGAGTATCTGTCTCCTCAGCTTTCTTTCTGCAGTCCATCCTTGGGTGAGCAGGACTTGGAATTAAAACATTCCACCCAGCTCTAATTAGAAACAGAATTACAAGAAAGCCAGGTGTCATTTGCACATCCAAGGTCTTTGCATAAATAACATCCAGTTCTGTTTCCAAAGAATGCTGAAGTATGTCACAGTACAGACTGTGTGGCTTGTCCTGTGCAGGCGTTCAGGACTTAGAGAAAATCCTGAAAATTATCCTATTTATTGATGTCAGTATACATCTGTCCTTAAGCTGCACAGCATCTACTATATCCAAAGCAAAGAAAACACCCTGTTCTTTCCGAAAAATAAAAGATATCTCAGCATAAGCACATCCTGTGACTGTTTTTTTTCTTTTTAAAAAAGGCTGTCAGAAGTGACTGTAGGGACAGCTTCATATCTAAGACAGCTGGCAGCACCAAGTAGACTTCTCCCTCTTTCTGCCTCACACTGCTGCCCTTTCCAAACTTTCTAGACAGCTCAGAAGAGAAATCCGGTAAGGATAAGGTGTCTGCTCAGTAAGAACTGAATTTATCCTGACTGGTGCTGACTGGGTAGTACTCTCTGTTTTGAGAAAGCAGACTTAATGTCTGTGTGGCAGCAGTTGCAAAGGGAAAGGCTTTCTTTTTTACTTCTGTCAGCAGAATCTACTTGCTCCAGGAGGGTTCAATTGCCTGTAGCTGACCTTTGTAAGCAGAGTGTCTGAGCAGCCCTGTTCAGGACTTGCTCCTGGAAGCTTTCAAGGAGGGAAATAGCTACTGGCATCTCATTTTCATAGACTCAGGAACAGAAAAGAGCCTTGACAGGAAAGCTCACAGGAGAGCCTGCGTGGTAAACTTAAAATGTCCTGGAATAGAAAAGTTAAGTTTGTGATAATTATGTAATATATTGGTATATCAGAAGAGCTTTGCAGTGAGGCTGAATTATTTGCATGGGTTTACCTACCCTTGGATCTCACACAGCAATTTGGCCACCATTTGAGTGAAGAAGTGGGGGGAGACTTCTTCTTTTTTCCCTTTTTTAGCTTCTGGTTTTTACTTTCTTCTGTGCTTCTCTGAAATACTGGAGTCAGGCCAAAATGATGGGTGGAGTGTAAAGGTGTTGGAGGTAGTGCTGCAATCTCTCAGTTGTGGAGTTCAGCAAGCTAAGTATTGGAGGGCTTTCCTTTTGGTCAGAGCAGCAGTGACTCGTATTTTTGTTGTTGTTGTTTGTTCACTTCACCTGCAGCAGGTCCTCTCCTCCTCTCCTGTGCTGCACAGCATCATCTGGGTCGTGTTTTTAACTAATCACACGCAGACCTTCCCCACCCACAGTCCCACAGTGGACTTCGGCACCAGCTTCCTGCTCTCTCCAGTGCCAAACTCTATAAATTGATTTGAATTTTTTTCCAACACGCAGCAATATTGATCTAGGCTGCCAGGAAGTGCGTCTGGGACACTTTTGTTGTGTGTGCAGCAGTTATGTGACGTTCTCTTGAACAGGCAGCTGCTGCAAGAGCCACAGTGGCCCAGAGATTGTTCCTGTGGACTCTGCTGCTGAGCTGGGCCTCTCTACTATAATTAACAAGAAATGTTCTTAGATGAGGTATCTGAGATTTAAGTTAGAAAGGGAAAAATGGTGGAGTTTTTTTTTCCCAAGTGCTAATTGGCATTGGGTAAATTAGAAATACTCCCCTTCTCTGATATTTCAGGGGTAAAATAAAGAAGTTAAGTTGCTACTTTCCATTCAACACTTCATTGCCCTTAGGACTCAAGGCAGGGAGATTTTTCAGTGGTAAACAGCCTTTCTAAAACACAATTAGCATTAATTAACATCCATGCTGGGAATTTAATCAGAAGCAGCAGATTAGTCCTGTTTTCTGAACCATTTTTTTTCTCCCCTTGGATATGGCTGTTCTTGTACAGGCTGGAAACTTGTGTTTGCAACAAGGAGTTTGTCCTGGGGCTTAGGTCCCCCAGAGCTGTCACAGGAGCAGCATTCACACATCAAAGACTTCTTAAGGGAATAGAAAAGAGCCTTTCTGATGGAGCAGATGCTACAAGCTTTCCCTGGAACTACAACATTAAATTTCTGTGCTATAACTCAGTGACTTACAGCTTTTCCTGTTCCATATTTTACTCACAATTAAAGCTTTTTGTATGGGCCACTGAATTGATTTCCTTCAGGAATTGCATTTCAAAGCTATGTGGTGTATGTTGAAATCCTAGTGAAGGTACTTTATTTAAAAAAATTTAGGTAACTAACATAGATGTAAAAGTAATAGGTAAAAATAACTCCCTGATGTTTGCTTCCAAATTGTTTGAAGGGTTACTTGTGGGTTAAATGTTTCAGGGGTTTTTTTTGTTCATTGCTTTGGTTATTTGCTGTTTATTTGGTTATTTGCTAGTTTAGTAGCTAGACAATGAGTTCTGTTTACTTGGTAGGATATGCCCCAGTGGAAGCACTACAGAAAAATATAAAAGCATTGGGGTGTAAATGTTTAAAAAAAAAATAAAAAAAATTTATAGATAAATGTAAAATCTGAAAGTGCTTACTCAGTGTGGAGGGATGTGATTTCTGTCTAGCAAACCTACTGTCTGGGTTGATTTTTAGTTTTATGTACAACCACTGATTAAGTGACAATGTTTGGTGGTTTTTTTGTTCAGTTACTTATTAGCTAGTTTTGTTTAAAGCTTGTGACTATCTTGATTAAAATCAAGCTACAATCAAACGCTGTTTGGACTTCTACCATTTCTGATAGGGAAAAAAACTCTACTGGAATCTGATCAGCACTTAGTTATGGAATTTTGAAGGCTTTAGTTTGAACAGCTTGTAGTAGATATGCTTACAGGGTGCTCAACGTGAGGTTTTTTGTTTTCCTGGTATTATGCCTGTGGATTTGTGGCAAAGTACTGTATTTGGGTTAAGTTGTATAGACTGTAAATAACAATGTTGTATTTAGGGAATTGCCAGATTGTGTACCTGTAAGGAATTTCTTTGTTTTTAAGTTTGACATCATTGTTCTTGTTTTTTTCCAGAAGTTTGGTGTCAATCAGTCTAAGCCAGAATTTACAGTGGATCTCAAAGGGGCGTTGATTGACTGGGCCTCAAAAGACAAATCCAGCAAAAAGAATGTTATTGAGGTGAATTATTTCATTTAAATGAAGAAATCTATGCATTTCAATTATTGATGTAAGAGGTTTTTTCTAAAATTAAAATCAAAACCTCAAAAAAATGGTTTTTTTATGCATTTCTACCAACCTGAATGTATATGGTATCTTTAGTACCTGCAAGAAACGTCCATTTTAAATATTTCTATATGGGATATGCTTTTCAATTTTAAGCGGATTGTTATTTACTGTTTTCACTGGTAAGTGTTCTTGAGTGGCTATGTATTATCTAAGTTATGCCAGGGAGAAGTTTAATTTGATTTGGATAATTTCACTTTTGAATTGTGGTGTGTTTATTAATTCTAATGGTATCTGTTTTTATTTCTTTAAAGCTAAAAACCCGCCAAGGAACTGAACTCTTAATTCAATCTGATAATGACGGCTTTATTAATGAATGGTATAAGGTTCTTAACTATACCATCAATAATCAGGTATGTATTTGAGTCATGAAGGCTCTATTTTCAAGGTAATATTATTTAGTAAACTGATTGATTTAGCAGCTTCTAATGCTCCACATACATCTTCATTTACTGATCTTCTTGAGAGTGAGCAGGAGTTTGAGGATATGGTGACAAGTGAAATATAATTAATAGTGGCAGAGGAAGAATGATGGTCCACTGAATTAAGAAAGAGAAAGTGTGGGCTGACCTCCATCTCAGAAATGAACTTGCTTTTGTGACCAAATACTTGTCTGTCTCAGTGATCTGAAAGGTTCTGACAGAGAGGGAATGAAGCGGGGAGGATGGCTGAGGGAATGCTTCGTGACACATTTGTCCACATTTGATAGTGCTGTTCACTTAGTAAGGCTGCACTAAAGTGCAAATTAAAAGCCCTGGCAAAATACTGTATTATTTCTTCCTGTCTGACAGCATAGTGCCAACTACTTAAATATCAGAAAATGCTTGAGCATTTGATCTTGATATTGCCAAACAAGAAGAACAGTTTTTTAATTCAGAAGGTGTTGGAGGAGATTTTGTGAAAAAATCCCTCTCATATCAAGTTTTACTTCATATGTATTTTTATTTTTTAATAGTTACAGATTGGCTGCTGCCCCTTATCTCTGTTTATATTGCTTTCAGTGCCACTCAGTGGCCTTCCTTTCTCTTGGCTCTGATGTTTTTCACATATGGCTGTTTTCCACCAAAACACAGCAGGCTAATATGAGTAGTTCAGTTTCTTTCCGAGTGCTCATGGTTTAGACTTCTAATTTGCTTTTTCGTGGTATGAGAATGTCATGACCCCTTAATAGCCAGGCAAGGCAGTGACTCAGCGACAACCTTCCTTCTGGCCTGTGTAACACCACTGAGGTCACTTCTTTCCTGCTTAAATGCAAATGGAGATGAAAAGGCTGAGATATGCTGAGATGTGAGTGAGATACTACATGTTAGGTTGAGGAAGTGATAGTGGAATAAGGAGAGTTTATCAGCACTCTGGAAGAAATGGTGATGTATTATTACTGCTGGGAGCTGGTAGCCAAGAGACCCAAGATAACAAGGCATAAGTTAAAGTACGTCAGACTACCTGATAACTTGGAGTACTGAAGCTTTGGGTACAAATATCCATCAGAACTAAAGCCAACTTTTAATTTTGGAAAGCTTATGGTAATAGTAGCTGTGAATATTTTTCCCATGACCAGGGTACTAGCTCCTAGTATGATGAGATCTTCCTCAATAGAAGGGGCAGGGGAGGTTCTGTTCCCTTTGCTCCTTTACTGTTGTGGCAATATGCTGTGCAAGAGGAATAGCTACCTACAAAGGATGTGACAGCTCTTTTTTGCATACAGAAATTTCCAAGTTATTAGATTAGATTTGTTACATAATACAAATTAGATTCCAGGTGATTTTTTTTTTTTCCCCGAGTAGTTACTAGGTTTAAAATGTGTGAATCCTAAAGAGCTTTGAGGCCTCATGAAGAATGATGGAGGATCCTTGGGGACATGAATTGGGCAGTTGAATAAATTGGTCTTTGTGTAAAAAGGCTATCCAAAAATTTCGAAAAGGAACAAGAATGAAGGTGTTTAAAGCCAACACCTGCACTTTAAGTTAAAATGCAACTTAGTCAGTGAAGTCATGCTGCTACTCACCGAATGCTCTGGAGTACACAACTGCCTTATTTTTAAAAGGTCCTTCCTTGGAACAGAAGGCACTCTATGGTTAGATTTTGGTAACTGTGTAGGCAGTCCAGTTCACTTCAGTGGAAGTGAAGTAAGAAAAAATGTGGTTTTGGAAGGGAATATGTTGTCCTGAAACCTGAGGAAGTTTCTTTTCCCATCTCCTGATGTGCAGTCATGCACATAGCATAGGTATGAGGCTGCAGATGTACAGATTACCCACCTCCACACTTCAGTGTGATCTACATTTTCACTTGACAGTGTTTAATGAGAATATGCTGAGATAGCAGTAACACAGGACAAGAATTTTAGGCAGGGGTACATTTAGTTTTTCAGAGTGAATTCAGTGTATGTTTTGACGGTAGTGAAATTTTCCAATTGGTAGCCCTAATTTCTATAAAGAAAATTTTAGTTACAGAGATAAGAAATTAGGTAAATGCTCTAGAAGTGTTCAACTCTGATCAGTCAGGCATTTTTATAGCAGACCATTAAATAGCTGATGTTTGTCTATTGGATTTGGAAAATAAACCTAACCAAAATTAATTTCTATTGTTTATTGGTTGATGTAATGAAGTGTTATCGTGAAGAGCTGGTTGTACTTTGTTCAGTGCCCAGCAAAACTTTCTTTATTGAGTCTTATGATGAAACAGTGTTTCTCAAAGTAATTCACTCTGCCAGAAATGGTATCATCTCTGACGAGACATTTAACACCTGGAGTTCAGGAAAGAACCAACTGAATATCATTATGGGAGGAAAAATTATGTATTGTAGAACTGTCTACAGGAAACCTGTGTGTTAATGCTATATTCTGTGAACTGGCAAACTGATCACTGTGTATCTTAAATCTAATAGGTAATAGAGCCTGATGAACCATTAGAAGATGAGGTACCAGATTCTCCTGGGGTGGAAAAACAAGACAAAGAGAAAGAGAAGGAGAATAAAGACTCTAAGAAGCTTCGTTGTGAGTTGAAATTTTTCCATTAATTTTTTCTAGCCCGTTTTCATTTTCTGCATCTTCATTATTACGTGTAAATAGGGAAGAATTCAAAAGGACAGATAAAAATGAAACTACTCAAGTTTGGAAACAGTTTTTTATGTAGTTCATTCTGCATCCTAATGCCATTTGGTAAATTTTCTTCCGTGTTTTATTGATCAGATTTTTTTAAAAAAGTGTGAAATGTCTTTGTCCTCTACTGTATAACACATTAAAAATGGGAAAATAAGTGGTGGTGAAATGAATTATTTTTGAGGTGGTGTCAAATGCACAGAAGTAATTAGGTATTTGTTTTATCTGACTTTTATAAACAGTTTTGAATAAGAATTCTTTTATTGATCTACTGATTATAATAGTTTTACTTGATTTTTATCTGGGGCACAGCATCTATAAATATTTGCACTGTTAGCTTAAACTACAATTTCACTAAGTTAGTAATGATGTATTGGCTGATTTAGAGAAACTAAACATTTTTAATTATAACTTCAGAATTTTGGAGCTAAATTCCTTTAAAAGGCAGAAATTAACTTCCTGTGCACAGAAAAATTAATCAGGCAGACTGTTTTTTCCAGGTCTTATATGGAATTTTCAAGAAAATATTTATTTATTTCAAAAATAGCTAACCTAATGAGACACAAGACAGGTTTGCAAACATAGCTGTATTTTTAAAATTCCACATCGATTCCTTATGTAAGCTACTATTTAGTTGGCTTTGCAGGTTTTTTGTGACAGAGTTGTCTTAGTGGTTTGAAAACTGGATGCTATTTACAAGGAGTTCCAAAAAGTTAAGGTAAAAATTGTGGATGCATTGCAAATTTGAATAGCTTTTTTATGTATCTTGGAGCTTAATTCTTTTTTTTTTTTTCTTTTTTTTTTTTTGTAGTGTTGGTTTCTTGGCTGATAAATGCAGTGTTGGTTCTGTGGCTAGTAATGCTGAATGTGTTTCTCTTTTCAGCAGTGAAAGCACCTAGCAATATAGATTCCACAGATCAGAAAAAGACCAAAACGAAGCTCAAGAAGTTTCTTACACGGCGCCCTACGTTACAAGCCGTCCGTGAAAAAGGCTACATTAAGGGTAAATGAACCTTTTTAACAGAGGAAATAATTTGGAAAGCTGAGTTTTGTAGTTCATGTGTAAAATGGGGGTTAAAATGGTCTAGTTCCAGAGTAAAATACATGTGTATAGTTTGTTTAACAAAAGTCTTGAATGTATAGTGGAACTGGTGATTGACTGTTGTACTTCTGAGCGTTGCTACGAGCCATTAAACTGCACAGGGGTTTATGAGCAATGAGCTCTCCTTCAGCTCACTGCTGGCAAAACTGCAGTGAAAATTGAGGGCCTAGGAGCCCATTTGGACTTGGACTCTTTAGCTAAGAAGCACTGCATTTCACTCTTCTGAGCTGTGCACATAAGGGAAAGAAAAGCCCTTTGGGTACAAAGCTGGGTGCACGTACTCATCTGTTTCACAAGGATGTTTTAGTCTGTGTGGAACCAGACAATTGTGCCATCTCATAAGAAATGAGATGTTTAGGCAAACCAGGATAAGGTTAAAGGAATCCTAACTTTAACATTTTTCCCCTAATGTTTTTTTTAATGTATACATTGTTTTGTTTCACAAACAATGGATCTTACAGATACTCTTGAGTCAAAGATATGAAAGAATTGATTTCCTTTTGTCACGCTTGTAGAAACTTTCAGAGAACAGTATTTGCACAGATTTAAGTTGATTTGTTTGTGTAAATTATTGACTTGGTACTCACTGTAAAACTTCATTTATTTATTTATTTGTATGCTTTAGCAGGACTTGTAGATGGTGCTCTACTAGGGTCAAAATAGCATATGGGTAGGCAAATACCAGACCAAATCCTACTGTAATTTGCCTAACTACATACTTTAACAGGTGTGCTTCTGTTGCATGTGGTGTTTGATATATTTGTGTATCTGCAAATATAATATAACTGTAAATGATGGAAATTTTGTTTGGAATAAGGAGGCATTATTCCCAGACTTCGACATTTCATTCTGCTTTACAGATTAGTATTCATGTCATGGCTCAGTGACGTAACTTTTGACATTAGCAACAGTAAACACTAAGCCAAGTTTAATTTGTACATGTGCGTGCTAATGATTGGATTTTTAATAAAGACGTTAAGGAATGAAGAGTTTGTTTTTATTTAAAAGCATGGTGTAAATTTTAAAAGTTGGATCTGCACTGTACAGTTTTACATTTGCTGTATGAATGAAGAATACAGAAGTGGTCTTTATTTAAAAGACCAACTTACTTTTGTGGCTGCTACAGAACAAGCTTAGTAAATGGAAAGCTTGGCAAACTTGGTATGAGCAGAAAAAATAGTGAAAAGTTCTGCAAAGAAAAATCCACTTGAAACAGCATGCACTAAGTGGAGAAGTTACTGTGTTAAAGTTTTGTCACATGGAAAAACCAAAGTACGGAAGTTACTTTTGAGATAAGAAGAAAAAATATTATTCCTCTTTATGTTGAAATTAATAAAGTCAAAGGCAATTGTAGCAAATTACTTTGTTACATGCTACTATTTTCTTCTGCTACCTAATCTGCACTGCTTTACCTACCACAGCTGCATGCTACCCTGGCTTTCTACTGTATGCACTTTTTCAGTACTTTGCTACTGATTCTGCTTATACAGCTGGCTGCATGAGTAGCTGCAGCAGGGCTCCAGGTGGTTTGGACCACTGGCCTTATATGTATATGCTAAATGCCCATTAAATGCCCATTTTCATACTGTATAATTGGTTTGGTGTGCTGTTTGGATTTCCCAAAGCAATTGTCAAGATGCAAGAGTTGTTAATGAATCTACTTAAATTACTAAACATGAAAAATGGAAATGAAGTAGATACTGTGCATGATGTAAACGCAAGAGCAGTCTCTGCAGAAGCTCTGAAGTAAGATATGCTTCATTTTGGGAAGATGACCACTTACATACCTTATTTAACTGGTTAAAAAAACAACCAAACAAAAACCTTCTTCCCTTTAAGAGTGTGAGCTTTGCTTCTCTGTCTCATGCATCTGAACAGAGGAGGCCGTCTATTATTTGGTCATCTTTGATGAAAGCCATAGAAATGGGTCTATTAAAGGGTTTGGTGATAACATAATTGAAATAAGAGGAATCAACATTGCTGAAATTCAGAGAGACGTTGCAAGATTCTCTTCTCTGCCCAAGCTGATTTTCATTTTACTCCAGTTTATGATAGAAAACACTCCCCCTGGATTCTGTAGTTTTGAAAACAAGACTCAAATTTATCTTTGACCATAAATATCTATATTTAGATTCTGACCTTGCAGAGAGGTTGCCTATGCATAGTCACATTTGTATCCATTCAGAACTCTGTTAAGGTTTTTTTACAAATCTATATCAGAACTTAGAAGACTATACATTAAAAGACTATACTATACATTAAATAAATTGATACATATTGCTGTGTTCAATAGTAGGTTCAGTGAAAGAAATTTTACAGTTTTCACCCAAGGAATACCTAAAGCTTTCACTCTAGTTAAAACTTATTATCTCTGTTCACATTTTTAACAAAGATTACAATAAGTATATCTTGAAATCAGAACAGGAATGGAGTGTAACAGGACACGTTTGAATCCATTGCATTTCTCATTACATTATTAACTGTATGACTCTTACAAGTACCACCTGATGGGTTAAAATGATTTCAGTAGCAAAAGTTTCTTATTCAGAGGCTCACATTTGTTTAACTGCTGACACTCTTTCTTACTGGGAGCTTTTTCTCGCTGGGAGCTGCTGCAAACTCTTTTCAAAACTTTCCTATTTCCACTCCAATACCGTGACAATTGTATCCAGTAGTCTTTGCCCTTTGTAGAGGTTTGTTTTAACCTGAACTAGTTCTGTCACTTGATCCCTGTTCCACCGTAAATCAGTCTCTTTACTTGGTTCCAGATCAAGTTTTTGGTTCAAATCTCACCAGCTTGTGTCAAAGAGAAAACGGCACGGTGCCAAAGTTCGTGAAGCTGTGCATTGAGCATGTTGAGGAACATGGTATGGTTGAAGTTTTTTGTTTTCAAATCTCTTTTGCTCACCACTCTTACCTAATTTGGAATGTTTTAATCTTAAAATACTGTAGAGTTATTTGGGGAAAATAATCTGAAATTTATATCTGTAGTTAGCATTGGGTTTTCAAGAATGGGGACGTAGGTGGAATCCAAAATGGGAAGAGGGGAGGAAATCTTATATCTGAGCAACTGGTCTGCTTCAGTATATTTTGAGCTGATGGGAAGGCAGAGCAGCCTCCTGGCAGCAAGGCTCTAAGGAAAGAGGGATTACAAGAAGTAGTAATCTTCTCAGATTAGAAGAGAGAAACAAAATGCAACCATTCATTTTTTGAAGGTTTAAGCATGCTAACAATCACTTCTATTAAAACTTCCTTGAAACAAACTTCTCGGAAGAGGTTGTGTTCCTGCTCTGTATACACATTGACTGCCAGAAGATGAGTCTATCAGCTTGATGCCCTTCAGCCAGTTACACCGACTGCTAAATTTTATGTAATTCTGGAGATTATCAGTGCCCACACATTGACTCAATTTTTATTTGCTTTCATTGCAAATAAGTGTCTCCTACCTAATAACTGAGAAAACTTTGAAAGCTCCATGTGACATTCTGGGTTGTCTGCTGTAAAGGACACCTTCAGTCTTTGTTGAAAATATGTTGGTTGTGACTCCTGACATGGCTGTAGTCTCTGCTGGTTTTCTTGCTTGTTTCTTGCTGTTGTCATTGCCCTATCTCTTGGAAAACATGACTGAGAGGGGATTATGGCATCTCCATAATCATCATTCAGATATATTCCAGTCCGTTAATCTGAGAACGCTCTCTTGAGAATCAGGGTAAGTGTTACAGGGGGAATACATGTGAATTCTAAGGCATTTTCATGGAAAGTTCCTTTAGGATTTTGTTGCAGCCTGTAGACCTCTTTCTCAATGCTGTTATCTTATGGCCTGGGAGGGGAAAAATAGCTGCTTCCATTGCCTTACTGCAGTTTGACAAACTGCCACCTTGCTTGTGACAGCAGGTTTTATTCCACCTGTGATCTGCAGGTTGTAAGAAAGAGGTTATTTTGCTTTGTTCCTTTTTTTTTTTTTATTTCTTTTTTATTTTAAAGACAGGACTGCAGTGAAGATAGTGAAGTTTTCCTTTTTTAAATACCTGAGGGGAAGCTGACAGAAATGAACAGCTTTTTTCCCCCACTTCTCCAACTCTTCTTCCTACTGCCAATACACTTCAAATCAGTTCTTTCTGTAAAGGAATGACTAGTGGATTATGGGGAAAAGGGATATGTCAGATGGTGCTGGTAACTGTGCTCTGTTGCATCAGACAACTCCGTGAGGAGCTACAGGGACTTGCAGGTATTCTGGCAACACTCACCTGCTCAGTGGCACTGACTCACATGCTGCATTCAAGTGACTCTTTAAATAAATTCGTTACCTCCTAATCACCGCTGAGTAACTGCAGTAACAACCACAGAGACAGTTTTCTTCTTTTCTGGTTGAGTGTGCAATCCATTAAGGCAAGGGCTTCCCATTTTAGTGTTGTAGGCTGTTGGGTAGCTCTGTGCATGCACAGCATTCCTTCTCTATGCAAACCTGGTCACTTGACAACTTTGAGATGCTCTCTATGCATGACTTGATTGGATTTCTTAACCATACGTAAAAAAATTGAACATTGTTTCCACAAAATACTTGGTTCTTGCATGTTGGACTCCCGTGTATTCCCTGCCCACCCACCAAGAGCATCTTATACAAGACATAATGAGTCTCACGGGGGAAACTTGGAGCTGTTGCCTCATTTCTACTTGCATAGGAAGTTCTAGAGACCACTTTGAACTTGACCCTACCAAACCTGTGTCAGCAAATTAAACCTCTTCTTATAAACCCTGCCCATCAAAAAAAACTAGTTTAACTTCCCCCCCCCCCCCTTTTTTACAAGGTGGGTTTCTTTTGTTTTTAATTTTGCTGAGCAGACCTATAAAAAAGCAGCCTAATGATTTCAGAATTCGAATATGTGTGAGGTGTTAAAATGGATTTATCTCTTTGTTTCAGGATTAGATATTGATGGCTTATACAGAGTTAGTGGCAATCTTGCAGTGATACAGAAGCTAAGATTTGCAGTCAACCATGGTAAGCTTCTTCCAACTACATTACAATTGCATATATTTTCAGATGGTTAAAGTTCATAGAAAGCTCAGGAAAAAATTTTCTCTATAGCTGTAGTATATCATGAGAAATTACTGCCATCTTCAAAGTAAAGTTACTTCAAAATTGTGGAACTGAGTATGTAATATACACCACTTGAAAAACCCAATAACCTGGAGGCTTGGTCTCATGTGGAGCATAGAGGCATTACTAGAACAGAATTCTAAAGAAAGGTGGTAATAGAATTTGAGGAGAGGGGATTATTTCAGACAAAATAACTCCATACCTTATGGAAAAACAGCAAACATGTTAACCTTCCACTAGCATTAAAATTGTAAGTTAATGGTGTTTTTTTTTTAATGAGATTTGCTACTGCCCTTTAGTGTGGAGGGGCTTAACTCCTCTTCACCATGCTCTGTGTAGAAAACTCTTTCATCTGGCAAAATCTCAGTGTTTTGTTCGGTGCAACTAGGAAGGGGACAGTAGTCCATCCACAATCCGACCTCTCATTTCCTAATTGACAGGAAAAAAATTTGTGTTATGTCAGCAACTCCTGTTCCCTTCTGGAAAATGCCCTCAGTGTAGGAGAGCTGCATGTAGTGTAGTAGGCAGAGTTTAGCCATCTCTGCCTGTAGTAGTTGAGGTTTTGTATCCCTTTTTATGCTGCCACAACTCTATATCCCAGAATGGGTTACAGAAGGGGCTGAAGTGGAGCAAGTCTTCACTGCTTTAAAAGCAATAAGTACAAAAGAATAGTTAAGTTTATTTAAAACAAATTAAAAAAAAGCTTTTATAGTTAAATTATTAGCACTAATTATTCATTTTTCTCTCTCAGATGAGAAACTGGACTTGAATGACAGTAAATGGGAAGATATTCATGTCATCACAGGAGCTTTAAAGATGTTTTTCAGAGAATTGCCAGAGCCCCTGTTCACTTACAATCACTTCAATGACTTTGTCAATGCAATTAGTAAGTCTGAAAAATATGGACGTGGTGTTTGTACGAGTTCTGTTCCATACATACAATTGTTTTAATTATTTTGGACATAAAAGGAATGTTTTGGTTATAAACGGTGGTAGCTACCGTGGAATTGCCTGTCTGCAATGCAGAGGCCAGTCGGGAGGTGGCAGTGTCCTATCTCATATTGCCACTGCAAACCATGGCTTTTATTCCCAGCCAGCCTGTTAAATTTTATGCCAAAGTTTTAAACAAAAATACTGAATTTTTGTTTGTATACCTCATCCTTTTGCAGAGCAAGAGCCAAGGCAGCGTGTCCCTGCTGTTAAAGATTTAATCAAACAGTTGCCAAAACCAAATCAGGACACTATGCAGGTACTCTTTAGACATCTGAAGAGGTAAGTAAGAAATAGAAGAAAAGACTTCATACTGCTCACCCTCTCTTAAAGCTAAATAATCTGATTGAAAGTACTAGATGGCTGTTTTCACTGCATTTTTATTTCCTATATTGGACTTGTTATGAGCAATATGTCAGTCTGTTTTTATGTGAGCTTGCAGAGCACCAAATAGACCTTAGACAGTATGCTTCATAGTTGTGATGTTTACTGCCAAGCCCTTATGTTTGAGGGATTGTGAGAGGACCAGGAATAACATTTCAAAACAAAACTTTTGTAGAGAGGGAAATTACAGCAGCTGCATGTCCTAATAACAAGACTACTCATTACATAAATACTATGACTAGTCTTTTGGTTTGGATTGTGTCTTTTTCTGTCATCCTGTCAACACTGATAGGTCTCTTTTTGTGTATTTTTTTCTCTTTCAGAGTCGTAGAAAATGGAGAAAAGAACCGAATGACCTATCAAAGTATAGCGATAGTTTTTGGTCCAACCTTATTAAAACCAGAGAAAGAGACTGGTAACATAGCAGTCCACACAGTATACCAGAATCAGATTGTAGAGTTAATTCTACTGGAATTGAATTCCATCTTTGGACGCTGACGTTTTTCTTGAAGTAGAAGCTGGAAGTGATGAGTTGGCAGCGGTACTCCATCAGAAGGAATTATTTTATGTTTGTGGACCAAGCAGCAACTCATTTTTTGCACTTTTGGGGGGGGAAGAAACAGGAGAAATGTTTGACCACTTTAATGCAAATTAAAGACAACACTTTGGATTTCTTTGAGAAGTTCAATGTAAAAAGTGAATTGAAAAGTTTATAGTTTGCCTTTTTCAAGTAGCATTGGAAAAATGTAATATAGGTTCATACACTGGAGTTCTCGGAGAGTAAAGCCATTAATCTCAAACTGGATAATCTGGAATTTAATCTCAAAATTCTTCCACTTGGTAGGGAAAAATCCTGCCAAATAGTATGGAAAAATTCAGTGAAGAAACATCTTAAGCTTGTGTATTACAACCTACTCAGATCTCTATGACACTTTTCCAAGGGGTTTCTGCATGTGGTGCCTGTCTTGGACTTGCGCTAACAGTTTGGTTTAGTTATTCAAATCTGATGCTTCACTTGGTATCTGCTGCCCCTTTTCCTTCTTTTTTTTTTTTTTTTTCCTTTTCCCCCCTTTTTCTGTTGTTTTTTTTTCCGCTTCTCTTTATTTCCTTTTTTTTCCCCAGCAACCTTTCTAGAAGTTCTTAGCTGCTTCATAGAGCAGCACACTATTACACTATTTCAAACACTGAACTTGTAAGAATATCCAGCAATGGATATGGCTTATGGCATAACATAAGTAATATTTAATAAACATGTTCATTTTTTCAGGGTATTTCTTGAGCTAAGTTTTGTGTTATACTGGTCTAAATCTGAAGTCCTAAGTAAACACCGACTGTAACACTGTATTGAGTTCATGGTATAATGCTGTGGTAGTGGAAGTTCATTCTTGATGTAAATACGGGCTGTCCTTTTAATTCTTGTATATAATTCAGTCCCTGTATAGTTTAAGAACACTTTAGTCACACATTTCTAATCATGGGTAGATTAGCTACAGTAGCATAATGTTTCCAGTGGATGTCTGGGTTTCAGCAGGGAAACAGGTTATGGGGAGGGAGGGAATCTAACTGTGTGCACTTTTAGATGTTAATTACATTTGCAGGCAAATAACTGTAATGCAAATGGTACTGGAGAAATACTGAGTGTGCTTGCTAAATGGTTAATGCACTACAAGAGGAGCCTTTTAGGTTATTTAATATGTACAGGATACATTAGAAAAATGTATTATGAATTCTAACACCTACAAATAGTGAAAGTCATGTTTTGATAGATAGATATTTGGTGGAATCCATGATGCTAAATTTAAGATTTTCTTTTTACATTAATGTAGAATAATTTGTAAAATTGGTTTTGAAAGATTTTGTTACACGGAGCATGGTCTGCTGAAGATTTTTTTAAATGTATTTTTCTAGACTAACTGCTGTATCTGACATATTTGTTATGTCTAACCTGAATAAAGAAAACCAATAGTTCTTTTAGAGTTTGCCATTCACACTTCAGACAATATGAACCCCTTTTAAACAAGACCAATGTATCTTACCCCTTAGCATGGATGGATACCACTTGTGGCAAAGAGTTGTCACGCTGAACTAAAAGATGAATGCCTGCTTTATAACCCGACAATTTTAGGAACTTCCCAGTCCCTTTCTTTAACAACATAAATTCTAACATAAGGTTCAGAGAGGGCAGAAGTAATTTATGGATATAAATTTCCAGTCTTTAAAACACATCCTAACGTGGAACCTACTGTACAGAAAGCAGTTATGTTGAGGAAGTGATTGTATGTCAGTAGCCTTTGATCTGCTGTGCACCTTCCACACACAGTCCTGGCTTACAGCAGAGGGGATGTGTGGTGACGCACTGAGGCGTAATCAGATGAATGGTACGAGAATTTCATATGAGCATAGGGCTTGCATGAAAAGTTTTTGGAGATAAACGAGAAGATTAGTTACCCTGTGGCTTTCTCAGTGTCTTCTTGTGGTAATGGTGAAGTCTTGTGGTTTGTTGCAAAGCGACCTGTGTGAGAGCTGTGAAAGCCCCATCTCCACGGTGTGTCGTCACACCGGAGCAGTGCTGAGTGGTGGCCATGTCCCAAGCTACTGGAAAACACCAGAAACAGAAAACACCAGCAAAGTTGGAATCTGTGGCTGTACATTGTTCAAATCCTTACTTTGGCTGTAAAATAAGGAAGAATTCCCACTGCTAAATGAGAGGGCTTGTTCACCGGTCACCTTTTCTGTACGAGTGTTACCTTCTTCAAAGGAAGAATGCCTTTTTAAAGCAATTTGATAATGAGGATGTCACACTTTTCCTTGTTTTCCCCCCAAATAAAGCATTTTGTTATTACAAATATATAGTATGGTTTTGTGCAGTGTTCTTAATATTCTAATTTTTAGTTTTGGGATGGGAGGGTATTCTTTTTAATAGAAAGAGGTGTAGGTAAACACTTGAAACATTAGGGAGGAGGAGGATAAAGTCCAATCTGATGGTACATTTGTTGTGACCAATTTAAAACTCTGTGTGTCACTGCGTTGGGGTTTTTTACTGCTTGAAAGTTCTTGTCTTGTTCCTGCAGTTAGCGTTCTTTTAAATATTCAAAACCAGGGGTTTGCACAGACACAGCTATTTGTATTAGATGAAACATAGTTAATTTTATATATTCCTCAGTTTAGGCTCTAAATCAGATTTGGTTTTGGCTTAAAACCAATTTAAGGCTTGAATATACATTTTTGAGGCCATAAGCACTCAAAGATAGTGGAGGGCCAACATCATATATTGCTGCCAGCTGAGTTTGCTCCAGCACTGGAGCTGTGTTCAGCTCTGTAGTTCAGCTACACAGCATTAGTACCAAGCAACTTGCAGACATGCTTGATCTATACCAGTTATGGGTCTCTTTACTTTGGAGCTGGAGAGAGAAGTGGACACAAAAAAGACAAGGCAAATATACAGAGTCAATTCGTGTAAACTAATTTTTTTTTGAATCGGAGTTGCTTGCAGGAAGCTTTATTTACATGCAAGTGGATAGGTCACACTTACTGCCTGGGCCCTGGCTTTCCTCCCCATCTTCACAGAAATCCATGATAAATTCCCTTTGTATTGAACCCATTGTATCCTGGCAAGTGAATCCTCAACGGGCAGCCTCAGAGGGAAGGGAGTTTGTAGGTAATACAGTATCAGTTTATTCCTATGGAGAGCCCAGACTTTTTCCCCTTTGAGGGAAGCGCTTTATTTAGCCCTAAAGTAATGATATTTTCAGAATCAATTGGTTAATTCATAAGCCATAGCGCAGAACAAGCACAGTAGGGCATTCTGCCGGGCCCAGGGGGAGGGACAGTATGTCTGATGAGGCCACTGCAGCCGCTGGGAGAGAAGAGCTCCTCTGAAGAATCTTAATTAGCCTCCACAATTGCGAAGTTTTGTGGGCAAGCAGCTGGTAGGACTGGATCAGGCCTTTACAAAAGTAGCCCTATGTGAATGTGAGACTTAAATGAACATCCCCACACCCCCCCTCCAGCTCCCCCAGCATTCTTGTAAACAGAGCACTTGTAAAACAAGCTCACACTGTGTAACAAACCAACATGAAAGACATTCAGAGGCAACTTGGCCTCTCAGTCCTTTTTATTGCCTGGAGAATTAAATGGCAGCTCTAATATTAGTTTCCTACAACTTCCCCAAATGGATTCAGTTTGGTAAGGTACTCAGCTGCTACTTTGAAAAAATAAAAGATATATGTGTTGAATACATCTAACTCAGAACTGCAAAGTGGAACAAGCAGGGATAGTGTCAGTTTTATTTCTCTTGGAACCTCATCTTGCAGCTTATTGCACTAAAATAAAGTTGGCTGGGGAAGGGGACAGAGATCCTTAGTGTGGGAATAAGTAAATGCTAAACGCTGAAGGCAACCAGACAAAGCAGGTGTGACAGACAAGCAAGATAGCAAAGAAACAGGCACTCAGAACTGCAGGAATCCTGGCCAGAGACCTGGGAGAGAGCCAGGCTGCCAAGACTGTGGGTTGGGGTTGTTTTTTCTTTTCTCTTTTTCTTCTTTTGCACTTCTTACAATACAAATGAAGACCTGGCTATATTTTTTAAGGATAATTTGCTCTGTAAACAGAGGGAGTTAAATAACATTACAAAATGGCAGTACCCATCTTTCTCTGGCTTTCCCAGAGTGGCTTCTATGTGTGAGCTTCTTAGGGGTGTGCTTGTGTCCAGCTTCACTGGATACAAGCACCTGAGTGCTGAAGTCAAGAACTATGTTCTTTCAACCAGCATCTTCACAATATAAAAATAAACTTGTTCTCAGTTTGGGACTGTTACTCTGGTGACACTGAGCGTCCTGTCTGAGATCCAACCTTTGTGGCACCAGATCATGAGAAGCACTGTTACAGCCTCAGCACACCAGAAGAAAGAAATGTATGAAGCTGAAAAGTGAGAGTATGCGCAAAAAAATAAAGCTCCAAGCTAAACTATCTTCACAACTAGTTTAGATTTGCATACCCAGTACAAATCTATTCAGAATAGTTTGTTAACTCATAGTGTGAAAGAAACAGCTGTCCTCTAAAGAAATAAATACCATAATTAAAAGCTGTCATTTCATATGTCATGCATTGGAAGATACTTGTTAAACATCGGTCAGCTTGTCTGGTTCATCGGGTGCTGTGGCCAAACAGCTGGAATCAAACTACTGTCGATGTGTTTGCTGGCCACAGATGTGCCAGTGCTCGCTGCCTTTACAAAGAGGGTGTTTCTGAGCTGGTGGTGGTTTGTTCGCTTCCTGCGTGTGAGTGTCCTGACTAGTTACTTGTTCCAGTAAAGGAGTACCTAACCTAGAAACAGAACTGAAAATCACCTTTCTCCAAGAAAATCTTTCCTATCAGCCCAAGCTGGGCAGTGCTGTGTCTGCAAGCACTTGACCTGTCCCTGCCTGCTGCAGGGACACTCTATCCCTCAAGACTGAGTGGGTACATCTTCTTGTGGGTGCTGGCCTTGACAAGCACACCTGTGACCTGCTCAACTTCACAGCTTTCTTCTGAGAAGAAAAACTGAGACAAGGTAGTGCCTCTCCTCTGCATTCCTTTAAAGTGTTATGTAGGATAAAGGATGCCACCATATTTCCCATTATGAAAAAGCTGTTTCAGAGCTGAAGTGCTGTTCTTGCTGATGTACTAGTCCTGCTCTAGCTTTTCTCTTTGAAGTTTTAATGATAAGACTTTTTTTCCTATTAATCTCTCCTTTTGCTTTATTCATCCACCTACTATTCCTGCTGCACTGGAAGTCAATCCAGCTTGGACCTTTTGCTTCCTTATTTGTACAACAGCCTGGAGCCTGGGGGCTGGAATGTGCTATGCTTTGCCCAGAGCACTGCTTTGCCTGCGGAGGCTGAGGCACAGGCTGCTCAGCCATAGACACTTCCTTACAGAGCAGTCATCATCATAAAAGCATGGACTAGAGAATTAAAAAATGTCCCTTTACAGGTAATAGGTAAAGCAGGCTGTGTGCTGCTCCCTATTTCGCAGGCTGCGTGTTCTTCTCTGTTGCAGAAATGTACGTAAGCTAAGCAATTAGGTATTATATTTGCCACGAGACTGAAGGAAAGCAATATAATTCCATGCAACCTTTGAATTCCCATCCACATCACTTGTGTAGGCTGAGCTGTGAGCCAGCTGCCAAAAGGACTGCACAGTCTTCAGGTTTGCATTAAAACACTGCAGCTATAGGCCACAATCATGCTTGTCCCCTTCCTTTGCCGGAGCTTCCCAGCCTACCCCATTCAAATGCACAAAAATAAATTACTTTCTGTCCCCCTTTCCTATTTGTGGAGTACAGCAGCTCCATGCAGCAAGCCAAGTGCTCAGAGTGTCCTTGGGTACAGCTTCTTACCCTGTATATACACAATTTAGTTAAGAGGGGGAGAGGACAGTTTATTATAAACATTGAACAGTGGGCAGCATCATTAGCTCTTTAAAATCATAACTAACTCCCCAGGTGGTTGTCCTGGGCTTTCTTTGCATCCCTGAGATAAAAAGAAAGCCTGAGCACATGAGAGCAGGATGCAGCACAATGCAACATTGAGTGCTGCTGTTGCTGGCAAGGCAAACTCCTCTCTGCCAGCATCAGTCTCAGGTGGCAGAAGCACTGCCTATGCTGTATGAGCCAGAAGTGGGGAGACCAGTGCCTTTCCTTCCTTCCTGCTGCCTTTCTAATTTGCTAGGTCATGAGCTAAGGCTCGTGGCGTGTTACAGGCCAGACATCGTGATTATAATGGTCCTCTCTGGTTTTAAAGAATCTGTGAATGGAACTGGCAAGTAGCCTTCCATTTAGCATCAGCTTCCTTGTTCCTACTTGGCCATTCATGTCCTATATCAAATGAAAGTGCTTCTCCTGGCCAAATCTTCCTTCCCATTTATCTCCTAAAGTAATGCTGCTCAACTGAGCAAAAATGACTCATGACCCACAGCAGCACTCACAGCTATGATG